CGTGCCACTGTCCTGTTTTTTCCAAAATTTCTTTAATCCTTTGTGTTTGAGTTTAAAACCTTTTAGATATTTGAAAATGTTTATGGGATGGTTTTAAACATATTTTGTGAGTGCTTTTGAGCTTGTGAATATAAGTATATAAAGTCATATCCTTACACTGGTTTCTACCTATATTCTATGATAGTTTAGTGTTTCGACTTCATTCTTGAGTAACGAATCTTAATGGATTCTTATTGTACCTGAAACACTTAAACAAACGTTAAGCTCTTATATTGTTTGTTAACATCAAAACATGAGGCTTAGCAAACCAAGGCTAACAATCTCCCCCTTTTTGATGTTGACAAACAATATACTTCAAAGTGAGTTAGGTGGGAGTAAAATAATGAAGCAAGTAAGCTCTCCCTAAGAATAATCATATTGAAAATACTCACTTTGAACTTTTTCTTGTGTTTATAAAAGTTTAAGTTTGATGCAATTAGTTACACAAGAATGCACTCAAGTTTAGGTTGCATAAGCACCACTTTGAAGTATACATCTTCTCCCCCTTTTGTCAAAATCAAAAAGGGCATTTTGAAAATTTTAACCATGTATAACTTCTTGAATCTCTCCCCCTATCAAAATGAATTTTTTAGGAAAAATGATAGTTTTGAGATCATTGAGCAAAAGGTGCATTTACAACGAAACTTCCCCTAAAAATGAAAACTCCCCCTAAAATGATGCAAGTTTAAAAACTTAAATTTTTTTCAGGGATTTTTGGGGATTATTTTCTAAAATGCATGATTTAAAAATGATTTTTTTAAAAAAAAAATAATCATGAAAACCAAGGCTAAAGCAAATAAAAGCATGTATGAGATAAGGTTTTATTTTTGAAAATAATTAAAACCAAACAAAATATCTTATCCGAATAAGCAAGAAGAACTTACCTTGGCTTATGCCGCACTTTCTTCGGCTTTGAATATACTTCTTTCTCTTTTGATTTTCTCCGTCTTGAGTCTTCAAAAAATTTCCATTGGAGAAAACTCTTGTATTTCTTCCTCATTACTCTTTCTTCGTCTTCTTCATCACTTGACGAATTAGAGTCCTCGGATGTTTCATCCGTCTCACTTGACTCATCATTTGAGTCACTTAAGTCATCACTAGACTCCTTCTTGGATGCCTTGAACGCATTGGTTCGTTTTGGGTCTTCTCTCAAATCTTCTTCTTTCATCTTAATCATCAAAAGCTCGTGAGAATACAAAGAAGACCAAATGTGGGTTGTGCTTTCCATTGCACATTTGGGTAAAAGATCTACAATACTACTATGTCATTCTTTTGGCAAAGAAAGTAAAATTTTAGTATTTAGTTCACTTGTAGAATATTCCTTACCCAACTTGTTGATTATTTCATTGAACCTTCTATTGGCATCTTGGATTGACTCATGTTGGCCAATTTTGAAACTTTCGTACTCCGAGTTTCCGAGGGCCAACATGGTTTGCTTCGTGGAGGTGTCGCCTTCATGAGTTGCTAAAATCTACTCCAGTATATTTTATAATTTTTGATGGATGAAATGTAAAAAGAGTTTTGCAATTCAAGAGAGACAATAGTGCAATGTTAGAAATGTGGTATACGAAGAGCATGAAGAATGATTTGATAGACTAATTAAGCGAATTGCGTACAAATGCTTTCAGATTTAAGTTTTTTGATGTATACCAAAATATTTCAATAAAATAAGACAAAAGTAATTTAGAATAAGTATAGAAGTTTCATCCTTTCAAAGCATACATGGGGCATATTTAGAGTTTCATGCATCAATACCCCTTGTGATGTACTAAATGTGGACCGTTACTCTCCGTGGTGCACATGTTTAAACACTTTAAAAAAATTATTTTTTTATTATTTTTAACACAAACATTTTTCTTCTCTTTTTGAAAAATAAAAGAAAAAAATAAAGAAAAATAGAGAGGAGACGTTGGTGCACATTTCCAAAACAATCAGGAGCACCGGAGCTATTATCTAATACTCCCTCCGTCCCTTAAAGTCGTTTCCTTATTGACGTTTTCGGGATTAAGGGACGGATATTTTGGTGTTGACTTTTCCAAAAATACCCTTGATTTGATATTTAAAAGTAAGATGTGATGGATAGATTATTAGTAAAAAGGTATGATGTGCTAGGTAGGGTATGAAAAACTAGGGGATAAAAGTAATTTTTTAATAGATAAGGGAATGAGTTAGTGGTACAAGAAAAAAAACAAAGGGGAAAGAGTTTAAGGGACAAGGGAGTAATTGAAAGGTGTTTTAGTCTAGAGGCCCATTGGCATAAGAATATTAGATTCATGGGGGCAACGATGTCTGTTTTGAACATATGGGATAATGGTACACATTTATCAAACAGCATAAATTTTCGAATAACAATCATATTGCACTCAAACATTTTTAATTATGTAGTGGCTATCATACTGTACAATTATTTTTACAGTTTTTTACATTTGAATATTTGAAATCAAACATTCGAATGTAACGTGTCGTTCTACAAAGGGTGCCATAGATAAAATTACATTCACCCCTTGAACTTCAGTAAAGGAGGCTATCATTGCATATAAACTTTGTAATATCATTGAACGAGCGTACACTTCGTAATCCGCACTATTGAACTCATTCCATCAAATTTCGTCTGCTCATGTGATCTGCTCGTTCGGCTTCTTCAACAGCAGCTACACAAAGACAGAGCCGAGTTCAACCTGTCCAACTCCTTCCATCAAATTTCGTCTGCTCATGTGATCTGATAAAGTATTTCTACTCCATCGTTTCTCTTTTTCTTTTCCGTTGAATCCTTCTCCCACATCTTTGAGTGGTTCCCATTTTTTATTTTTCAGTCGTTTGGAGTAAATTGCTTGTTGTTTTTTTGTTTTGCACTTGTTCTCTATGGATGGCAGACCTAGTTTTCTATCCTTCTCTGTTGAAAAGAGGATCCTCTGTACTTGCTGTCATTTCCCATAAATTGTTGTTATAGAATTGCTCCCTATATACTTGCTGTCATTTCCTAGAGTATACTTCCATTTTTAGCTTATAATTGCTCTTTATATAGTTTTGATTTTATAATAGTAATGCATTGTGAAAAGCGACAAATGATATTCCTTTCTTTCCAAATTAATCCTCCTAGTTTATTTTTCTACAGAATTTAAGAAACATGAAATTATATAGTTTAAACTAATACAAAGAAAAGAAAAAAATGAGTAACAAAAAGCATTCCATAAAAAAGATGAAGATTAAATTAAGATAGCTAAAAATGAAATAAGAAGTGTTTCTCCGTGATTGTGCTTATTTGACTTATTCTAGAAGTAAATGATTCAAATGATGGTAAGTCATTAGAGAATATTTATAAATGGTGAAGATTGTTTAGTAAATAATCTAGTCAAAACAGAAAAATAAAAAAAAACTTAAATAAAGACTTATTTTTTCTGCTTTATAAACAACTATAAGTCAATTTATAAACAATAGCTAATAAATAATTTCGACCAATTTATTTGCACGAAAAACACTCACATAAAGATAATCAATTTAGGGGAGGGCGTATCATTGAAGTTCTTATAAAAAAGGATTGCTATAACACTGTTGATAAACTAAAACTCCATAACATTTACCTTTCAAATTATAGCTCTCCATTTCGAGATGCTTTAGATATTGAGTGATGCTTACATGATCTCAAAATTCATACTACATCCGTTCCAGAGTATTTGTCCACTTTCATTTTTACACACCATCCAATACACTTCTTTAATCTATTTTATCTTGTAATATGTATATTAAAAAATTATAGAAATTATATATTAATAATCTACATGTTAAGACAAATCAAACAAGATCACACATGTCTATATTTAGGCTTACACATTGAGAGAATTTGATGAGTCAAAATTCTTAGATGAACAACCCCAAAAGTCAAAAGTGGATGAAAACTCCAAGACGGAGGGAGTATTTAAAATGTAAATTTTTACATTTTTTATAAGCTTGTATGTAAAAATAATTATTTACAAAAACAATGGCCTTTTTTAGATTCTATAATTGGTCTTCTTCTACTATCAACTATTTGGATGCTGGTCTTTTTTATGGATACTTTCCTACAAATAGTCTTTTTTACTTTCTTTCACATTGGCATTAATTTCAAGACAAAAAATATAATTTTACATAAATCATATGTTCAGTAACGTATTTCAACGTCAGCTTCGCAGACAACAAAACAATAATGAAACTATAGACTAAGATTTCGGCTATATACGACATATTTATAATATAGTTGTATACAATTCCAATTGAGTAAGATGTCAACAACAACCTCTATTTTAGGTATTACAAGAAAGATAAACTTTTAACCCTCAAAATAACACAAGACAAAAATCATAAAAAGACTATTTATAGAAAAATACCTTTAAAAAGGACCGTAATATTTAATAATAGAAAATTAAATATGAAAAACATCGTATTATAAAAGACTAATTATAAAATTTACTCTTAGATAATCAAGTAAAGAGAAAGTGTTTTTCTCTATATTTCTGTATAGAAAGGTAAGGCAGGTAAAACCCGTAAAATGTTCTAGGCCATGGATGGTTTTGAAAGATACCCAATAGGCCAATACTACACGGGTATTCATCTTGTAGCACAATATAGATGCACTTTACATGGGAAATATGGAAAGTCATATAGCAAAGCAACATTTCAGTTTTGTTATTGAAGTCATTAGGGTTGTGCTATTTGCACACCACAATACACCATTTTGTACACAAAAACTCTGCATTGACCCAAAATGAAAGTGAAACACAAGCATAATAATGCAAATGTCATATTGCTCTCATTTTATGTCTATATCATGTGAGTTGAATTGGATCCATTTCCAATACATAGTCAGTAACAGAAACACATTTGAGTTTACCCAAAATGTACAGTGCATTTTGAAGACCAAATTAAGTTCCAAAACATTTCATACTCTGAAGATGACAAAGCTAAAATTCAAATAATTCTTAGAGCAAAATAAGGCTTTTTTTTTGTAGAAATTAGTTTTGTTTTAAGATCAGCACTCAAAACCACAGAGATTAGTTCAAGAAAAGAAAAATAGAGAAACAGAGAAATGCTAATAATCTCAAAACCAGACAAAAACTTATCAGAGTGCAAACATGAAAAATATAAAAAGGCTCAAACCTTTAAATAAGTAGCACAAATTAAAACATTCACGAGGTGTTGTGTAGACTAGAACAATTAATACTCAATAGAAACAGAAGCATTTCAGTACCGGTCACCGCCAGCACCCCCAAATCCACCACGACCAAATCCAGGGCGGCCAGCTCCAAATCCACCGCGACCGCCGGCAATTGCAGTGTCGACGGCTGCAACAGGGGCGGTCTCCTCCACCCTCTGCACCACTCCTGGAAGATCGGCTATGCCCAAAGAAGTGAGGAGATCCATGGTCTCCTTGTCAACCTGAATGACGTCAGTGTTAATGGCAGACTGCTCGGGGACGAAGTCCATGCGGCGCTCCCTCTCCTCCTCCTGGAGCTTGAGCGAGATGCCTCGAACGGGCCCTTTCTGGATCCGCTTCATGAGATGCGTCGAGAATCCGGCGATTTTGTTGCGGAGGCGCTTCGACGGGATGATGGCCACCTCTTCCAGAACCTTCTTGTTGGTGTGGAAGTCGAGGGTGAAGCGCGAGTAGTAGCGCTCGATCACTTGGCGGGAGGACTTCTTCACTGTCTTCGTGCGAACGCGTCCCATGGTGGCTGAGAGAGCGCAGCGACGTCGGCTTCTGCCTGGGAGGCCGCTAGGGTTTGCACGTGGATGAAGAAGGAAGCCGCGAGTTCTGCTTCTGAGCCACTATGAAAGTAGGGTTTGCACGGGGATGATTTTATTGTGGATATAATGTGGAGATTGGGCTGGGCTTTTGCGCATAATAAGACTTCGGATCCCTCACGCGATCTTGAAACCCCTTGAACCGGTCCGAACTATTTTGATCTTGTTCCTATAATTTTCCGTTTTGTTATGGATGATAAAATTTTGTCCCAATTTCATTTCAAACGGTTTTAAAATGGGACAGTACACATAAATATTTTACCGTTACATCACATTATCTCGTAAACATGTATATATGTATTTATTTATTTATATAATGATATAACATAATTTTTTGTTTTCCCAAAATAAATATATAAAATATCTATATTCTAATATTCTTTAAAAATGGACTAAGGTCAGAACACCTAAAAATCCAAACGTTCTAACCTGACGCACCCTAATTTGTGGCTCATAATTTTTATGAACATTATAGCCCCGACTTTTGATGTATGGTGTAACATATTTTCATATTTCCTTATTGTTTTGGATTTTTTTTAAACATTTTAAATAAATATATCATTTTTCATTACTTTGCAAGTCAAAGTGGGTTGCCTCCCCCATATATTTATACTTTTATATCTAATTTCTGATAATGACAAAGTAAGACAATCCGAACTAGGGGTGGGCAAGGATGAGGACGGTACGGGTTTTGGTTGTCACACGTCTTGTCTCGTTATATATAAACGGTCCGGAACAGTTCGGATTACAATCTTATTCCAGTTTGTCCCATAAAGTTCGGGATCGGAATAAACCATGACAGATTCGGGTCGTCCTACTTTGTCCTAATCGCAAATATAAGAAGGGGGAGAGAGTGACATTTCATTCAAAAAAAGAAACATCTAGCTATCCAACAAAAAACAATGAGTGGAACGGGTCCGAATAAATTTCAATCATATGAAGTTAATTTAATTAAATAACTAATTAATTAAAGAATAAGTGTATTTGGATTTTGGGCTAGAATTAGTATTATATATTAGTAGAGTAGATGAAACGGGACATACGGGACGAATTGGTATAAATTTAAGTTGTCCCGCTCATGTCTCATTTGATATTGGGACGGAACGGGTTCGGGATAAGAAAAATGTGTCCCAATATATCGGTACAATTACAAAACGGATCTGGGATTTTTTGGTACGGTTCAACGGGAACAGATTTCACGCCCACCTAACCCGAACCGTCTGATTTTATCCCGATCCTGAATATTAAGGAACAAAGAGAAATAAATTTGTGAAATCGATCCAAACCGTTTTGAAAAAACGGGACAAAACGCGAGACAACATAAAACCCAAACCGTCCCGACCCGCGCCTACCCCACTCTCTCTTTCTCATTCTAATTCCCTATTCCATTTTTAAAACAGAGCAGTAATTTCAAATTAACTATAGAAAGCTACTTACATACACACTATATGGTGTACATCAACTATCAAGTACCCATACTCCCCATATATCATGTTTTGCATCGATAGAAATTAATACAAAATGAAAGTGCAGTACTAATATTTTGAGCCATTTCCTACAAGTGAAAAGCATGATGTATACCATGTTGATGTACACCTAACACATTCGAAATTAGTTTTACCTTTCCTTTCGCGATTGTACCCGTATGAATAATTATAATAATATTAATGATACATTATATTTAAGCATTTCATAGTGTTCTAGTATTATACGTTTCTGTTATTGATATTATAGGCCATATTTTAGAAATAAAAACATGAAAGTCATATTTTAGTTCTTTCTTTGTATTTCACTTTTATTTTAGCCTTTCACCCGATACGAACACAAAAAAAAAATCTAAAAAACATGGAAAAAGACTAAATTAGAAGTAAATATGCCAAAATAGAAGGTCTATATTTGTATTTTTAAAACATGTGTTACTATGCAAATATAATGTCAATCATGTCAATGTATAAAAAATGTATTGTTAAATATCCATACATAGTGTCACATTATCACAATGCAAACTTCTATTTTGGGGATGATGGATATTGAGCATGGTGAGTACAGCGAGAAGGCCCAATGTGTTCTCGAACCCCAATATAACTCTGGGCCTGATTTCATGCCAATGATGGATCAGAGTTATAACATACACCCTAATTTGTCCATGTCTGCAGTCCCGTTTGGACTAAGTATTAATTTGGTAACGTAAAAATTTCAAACACTTAAAAACTTTATTTCAAACAATTGTGCAAAATATTTCATAATAACATTGGAGTAAAATTATTTAAAACAGTACGGAAGCAATTTGCAAATTACAATAATATGATCAACCCATGTGATAAAATCATTTACTTAAATAGTATATTTGTGCGCGTCCACGCATCACCTCCATCTCAGTATTCTCCAAAATAGACTCTACATTTATTCTCTCTCATACATACGTGTAGAAAGATGAAAAAATCTACACACTCAGCAATGAAGCTGAGTGGTACCATGGCACAACAAAAGAATTCACAGAATAATTTCTTAAACAATACCGATCACGCTCCAACTGAATAGTGGACTTATTTACTGTCGGGTGGGTGATATCCCCAAATGAGTGATCCTCGAGTTTGGTTTGGATCTCGTAAGTACGTTTTAACCCCAGATTACTGAATTGGTCACATAGGTATTGTCAACATTAATTATCTAAATTAGTTATATGGGTATATCTTAGAGTTCTTCTAGATACCCTTCAAATTTTTTTTTTATCAATATGGGTATATCTTAGAGTTCTTCTAGATACCCTTAACAAAACATATTATTTTCATAATCATCAATACATTCATTTTTAAACATGGTTCAATCATTTATAATCACCATTTTAATCAAAATATTCATCAAGGTTTGATCAAAATCAACATTCAACAATAATCATCATAATATCCAATAACAAGTCACAACCTAGTGTTGAGTGTTAACACTCTAGCTTACCGTCATACATCACATAGGGTTATTGAATTTTTCAAAACATCATATTTATTTCCAAAAATCATTTTCATATTGATCATAATTGATTGGTAACAAAAATAGGATTTTATAGCTTCAAAAATAGCATTTTCGGACTTAAAAATGTTCGTAACGGTTGACCGTTGGGTTCGAACGGTCGACCATACTGTTCTGGCAAAAATCTCGTCGTACGGTACATGGAGACGGTACCTTGGTACCGTGACACGGTAGCTTGGTACCGTTTAAACGGTATGAAGCTACCGTATACGCGCAAGAGAGACGCAATTACCATTCATCATCTTCAACCTTCGATCCAATTTCTCAAACACCATTTAAGCTTCTAAGCTTTAAACTAACTTCATAAAAATGTTTTCTAACGTCCATAGATAATTCACAAACAATTTGTTTGAAACTTTAACAATAAAACAATTTTGGCTATTATGAATATCAAAATATTTATATTTTTAAATATATATGAATAAATAAGTTCAAGGATCATTTCATGCATTATAAAAGTGTTTAAGATCATGGTACAAACCTGGAAATCGACGTGATGAAGCTCTACAGATGAGCGGGAGCGAAAACAACGTTAGAAATCTCAAAACTCGTCTCTTCTTGTCACCATTGTACAAGTCCTGGTTTTCGGGTCATATCTTCTTCGTTACTCAACGAAATCGGAAACTTCTGGCAAGAACCGTGGATACCTCCGGTGACTAACAGTGGCGATCACTTTGCGGATTGTTCTCCACATAACAAGGAGTAAAATAGAAGAAGTATGGAAGAGTTTGGTGATTAGATGAAGGAGAAATTGGTACCCTATTTATAGGGAAGGATGGGAGGAAGAAGTTGAAGAAGAACACATCATGCTACATACTTTCGGTGATCTTGAGCGGCTTATTGCAGTTTGGAGTGATTTGATACCATTCTCCCTAATTGGTACTAAAGTGGTCCCAATTGGGGTATACGTTTTTGCCCAACTTTCTTCAAAATTAAAATCTGATTGTACCATCACAGTGAGACAATCAAGCTCTATACGAAAATATAATTTTCACATTTTTTTGAAATATTTTTTCTGATACCATATTTTAGACGTTGACTTTGACAGAGTCTAAATTGAATTAGTTGACATAAAATTAAAAGTACTCTCATATTCAATCAATATTATTCAATTTAAATAATTTATTTCAATAAATCATTTTACAAAAGTTCACATCTTTAATCACTTCTCATTTTTATGCAAATTATATATTTAAAATATCACAACTCAAAATCTGTACATCAGATTTATTCATAAAATATACCGTTGGATTCGTCTCTTCAAGACATATCCATAAAACTCAATTTTAACAAAAAATCATTTACAGCAAAAATTCTTTCATTTTTTGTCAAACATTAAAATAATATTTTGTTGGGTCAAAATATTGTTCTGGAAATACTTTTATCATAAAATAACTTTTACGCCATGTATTGGGGCATTACAAGAGTATTAACTGGGCCAAGGGAAGTGCGACTTACGCACCTGGGCATGCCCGGATCGGAATATGAGTGGATCACCAATCCCACTGATCGTGGGTAATTAACGACTCATGCTCAGGCCAATCATGTCTAGAAAGTAAGACACAATTTACATACCATGTACGTAGTAAAATTCAGTCTATAAATAGGAGATAAAATCTTCATTGTAAATCAAGCCAATATAAGTAATACTCACATCATATTTCTTGAGGGTTTATCATTGTTCTAGTTTACGTTCTTTGTACCTCTATAGTTAGTCTCATCATTGGTCCTTTCATTGAGAACTTGATATGAGGAAATCATTTTGAGAATGGTTGGACGAAAAACTAGAAACTCTAGACATATGGCTAAGACTCTTCACCAGTCGTCTGCAGGGGCCAGAGCTTCTAGCCAAACCCTAGTGTCGTTCCACTTACTGGGTTGGAGATGGCCATGAAAAGAATTACCAACTTGATGGTAAACGTCATGGAGTAGTTGGGTCGGGCTCTCTCGGATCCTTCTAGCACTCCCCGTGGACCTATCACAAGCCACGTTCGATACTACACACGGCGGGGGAGCGCTCCACGACCCAGAGGAAATTGAGAAGGAACTGGAGGCAATCGCTAGGCCCTTGGAGGCGGAGCTAATCTGAAATACAATGGTGACGAAAGAGTTTTAGTGGTAGTAAATTTCCTCAAAAGAGCTTCATTTATTCTTGTGTCGTAATCACAAGGATTGGTATGCAATAAAATTTTCTATTAAAATTAGTTAGACAAAGTTTACTCAGGCCTCGTTTGGTACATGGAATTCAAATTGTGGAATTGGAATTGAGGACTTCAATTCCAATTCTGGTGTTTGGTAGCACAAAAATTATGTGGATTTGGAATTGATAGTGTAAAAAATAAATTGGAATTGGCAGAATTGAATTCTATAGAATTGAATCCCATAGAATTTCAATTCTAATTCAATTCTAATTCCGTCAATTCCATATACCAAACGGACCCTCATTGATATTCGAATTGATTGTTTGGTTTTGTTTGAGCAGAGTAATAGTTTGATTTGATTGATAAATAAAAAAGAGAATATCAATTGATTTTAAGTAGTGGGAATTTTTTAGATACTTTAACTAGTTGGACTATTAAACTAGCTAATTAATTTGGCGAGTTTATTGCACCAAGACCACCTGAATTTTAGTAAATGTGCACTGTTACCCCCTATAGTTTCAAAAGTTACGTCGTTCCCCCTCATGGTTCTGATATTGCTATACTAATGTTCATGTGGACAAAAATATCCTTCAAATATTAGGTGAATAGCTCTGCTGCCCCCTATGCTTTTAGAAATTGGCACAAACGCCCCTCTCTTTTCTTTATTGTTTTTCTTTTTCTACTATTTCTTTCATTAATTCTTTTTAATTTCTTTTTTTAAAATTATTTATTTATAGCATTTTAATAATAATTTTTTGTGTGTTTGCAATAATTAATTTTGGTGTCTCAAATTAAACAGTTTCATTTGTTATTCAAAAGAGGTCTTTATTGGTTCATTTTCATGATACGAAAATCAATGAAACATTCCTTTTCTCACTAAAGCTCATTTCTCAGAATTGGAAAGAAAATAAAGAAAAAGAAATTAAAAGTATATGAAAAAATTTAGAGAAAATTAAGTCATGAAGAAAATCTTTTACGCATCGATCCAAAGAATGTTATTATATAATTAACTATATACTAAAAAAACCTTAGTCGGTATTCTTTTGGTCCTGACATCTTCAAAAAACATTTTTAGACAAAAAAGTATTTAATTTGAAAATGTATTATATGTAACAAAATTAGTTTATTTTTTTTATTTCTAACACAAATATTTTTTTACTTTTTAAAAATATAGGTTTGAAAAACAACTTTTCCTTACTTCTCACATAAATATTTTTCTTCTCTTTATGAAAAAAAGAAAAAAGACAATAAAGGAAAGGGAGAGGGGCGTTGGCACCCATTTCCAAAACCATAGGGGCAGTGGAGTTATTCACTTAATCTTTGAAGGATATTTCTGTCCAAAGGGGCATTGGCATAGCAATATCATAACCATGAGGAGAAACAACGTGAGTTTTGAAATCACGAGGGATAACGGTGCACATTTACTAAACCATAGGAGGTGTTAGTGCAATAAACTCTTATTTGGCTAGTGAGTAATTTTCTCACAACTACTCTATTAATTTATCCCATCTCTAGGCATTATAAATTTGCTAGTTATGGTTGGCTAAATTATTTTTCTCATTCATGGATAAATAAACATAATAATTTTCCAAAGATTAATTAACAAATTGGTCAGATAAATTAATTAGAATATTATAATTACTAGCAACTTAACACTTTAATTAATTATATTTACTATTCCAACATAATTATTTTTCCTACATACTCTCTACGCTACTTCAAGTCATATTCCTAAAATATTTAAACTAACATTGATATAATAAAAAAGTGCATAAAGTAATTAACAGAACACTTTTATTAAAATATTACACAAAATATACAACATCTAGAAAAGTGGAATTGGAACGGAACTGGAATAGGAGTTCTAAAATTGGAACACCCCAACCTACGAGACTCGAACCAACTAGTTAGCGAATCAGGTTGCTACTTATTTGGTATTCACATGCACAATATTTTAAAGAAATATTTAAAATAAAGCTTTCGTTTATTAATAAAAAATAAATCACAGGCAATCGAAGTAACAAATTCAAACGTTGCAGAAGCCGTTAAAACATCATCACCAAAATATTCTTTTAATAAAAAAAATAAGTTCAACTAAATAATTTATTTAACATAAAATAGCTTCAGGCCATCTAGTTCACCAAACATCATTGACCACTGGGCTACTTATCCAATCTTTGATGGGAGAAAGAACAAAGTAGGACTAAAACATTGAAAACATACCAAAATAAGACTTCCATGTTTTTATTCCCCGAAATAGGACTTACATTACCAAACATGGTCATATACATTACCAAAAAAATATAGTAATCTGCACATGTACACTGCCACATTACCACAATGCAAAGTCACATTACCACAGTGCAAAGTCCTATTCCGGGAAAAAAAACATGAAAGTACTATTTTGGTACTTTTCTCTATGTTTTAGTCCTATCTAGGATGATTTCTGATCTTTGATTCCTACCTGCGTACAACCAATGACAACAAAGACTACACGCTCCGCTAAAACACTAGTACATAAATTACTTTTTGAATGATTTGTTTTTGACCTTTTAAATCGGTTGTCAACCGATGCAAAAGGAGCGATCTTTGGAATTGTGTATGATAGGAACGATATAGTATCATTGTGAAATTATATTTTTAGTCCTCAAATTAAATAAAAATGATAAAAGATCAAAAAAGGACTATATGTGGAAAGATACCCATAAAAAAGACTATCAGATTAATATTTGATAATAGAGAACTAAATTAAAAAATCTTCCTATTATAAAGGACCAATAATAAAACTTATTCTTTTAATTTATATTTAGTATAAATGATGGGAGTGTTTTAGTCACAAACAAAATGAAAGGGGAGTACATACAGAGTGTACAGATCGAGGGAGATCGCACTCAATGTAAATCATTCAAAATTCATCGAAGACTTTACCTTTTTCGCGAAATACAGTACTTAACAAACTCCTAATTTCTTCAAATACCCAGAAAGTCAGAAGTTCCATTGATCCACAACATTCACGACGCCCTTAAGTTTTTGAAAGAAAAGATTGAAGTTTCTGGTGTACATTCGGGTATACGTTCGCAGTGGAGAGCTGAAAATGCGCAGGCAGAAGAGGATGGGTGTCGTAGAGGGTTTGGTACCCAAAGTCCGCAAAAGGGGCTGCTCATCATCTTCATCTGCTTCGTCCAGAGTCCATAACTGCAGATTCAAGCGGGCGATTGTAGTGGGGAAGGTCAGACACGTAGGATTGGGCGGGTCCAGATCCAGCACTCCAGTGCCATCCTGGAAAGCGACGCCGCTTCTAAAGACCGCTCTCGAGCCCCCTGTGGTTTCTCAGGCGAGAACGTCTCGTCCTGTCTCAGCTAGAAAGCTTGCTGCAACTCTCTGGGAGATGAAGGAAGTCCCGTCCCCAAAAATTGATGAGGACTTGGACCAGAGGAAGAAGGAGAAGAAGAAGAAGGAGAAAATGGGTCTGGGCCGTTCCGGTTCGGGTTCAGTTTCGAGCCCCCTGCCCCCTCATTTGTGTGATCCATCTCATAGCCCTGTTTCTGAGGTTGGTACTTAATCTAAATTTCATGCTCAAGTATGTCTGCGGCTATTTGATGGTTATTATCTTTATAACAGTTGAATTATTGTTACTATCCTTCAAATGTGTGTGCTGCATAGTCTTTCAATCTCAGTTGAAGCAAAATTACAGTATCTAATCATCATTTGATTTTGATGGACTTGCAATGGTATTTTTGGTGGCTGATACACATCATTCTGGCATTGGGAGAAGTTTGGAACTTTGGTTGTTGAATGTATACCCAACTGCATCATAAACGGGACAGGGATAGAAAATACTACATCTTCTTCAATATTCAAATACTCCATATAATTCTTTTCTCTTTGGAAGTTCATAGAAATAGAGGAAAATATCTAATTAGGACTAAAACATGTACTATATATCAAAATAGAAGCTTCAACGCTTTTATGCCAAAATAAGATTTTAAAAATTGTTCAAGACTTTTATGCTCTTAATTTAGTCTCTTTAATAGAGTTACAATTTCTTTTCAAATTTAAAAACAAAAAAATAGATTACAATCTCTTTAAAACTAACACCAAACCCAGCAACTGTGATCCTAGTTCCCCTGCTAGTCGCCGTTGTGCCACATGAAGTGTGAGAAAACAATGATGCCATAGTATTATCATGTCAGTTTCAACACCTTTGTAGTACCATAATATTTGCACGAAACCAAACACTGGCAGCACAATGCCATAAATTTCACATGATCAAAACAAAGCCATAATACCAAAAAAATGCCACAAAAATAATGAAACAACATTAAATATAATGCCAAATTTGTCGCTAGAAAGAATGCTAAAATAATGCCAAAAATTGTGGCAAATGCTAAGAGACACTGTGAAATGCCAACACACAATACCAAATTGTGTTTTTAGTGCTATCCCAAAATAGGATTTATAATGTAACTCATGTCAACATCTAATACCAAAAATACTATGGATTACCAAATTCCTTTTTTGGAGATAAAAACATGTCACTCCTATTTCTTGAAGGCAATTAGGGTGGGTGTTGCGCTAGGGGAGGGGGTAGCATTGCGATATAATGGTGGGGGTATCGGCATTTGGGGGGAGTGTCCGCGTTGGGGGTGGGTGGGAGTTAGGGGGTGGCAAGTGGTGGCGATGGAGAGTGAGGTAACGACAGTTTGTAGGAAAAGGTAGATAATGTGGCAATGATGGTGCGTGGGGCATTAGGGATTGGGGTGGGTGGCGGCAAATGGTGATGGAGGATGGACAACCACAGTTTGCAAGAAAAGGGAGAGAATAGTTTTTAGAAAAGAATGCGCAATACTATGTTAGTTTTACCTAATGGGTTAGTGAAAGGATGGGGATAAGGTAGTCGTATTCAAGGGATAAAACAATGGAACTCTTGTCTTTTTATAAACTCCATGTTTTAGTTCTATTAGAGTAGACTTATTTAGAAATAAATGCTATGATGTACATGCTTATTAGACTTAAGAAATAAAAGTTATGATGTGCATGTTTATTCTATAATCTCAATTTTGCAATGGTACAATGACTATGCAACTATTTCAAATCATCAATGTCTTCTTACATTTTCATGCAAGTCAAAAAAACATATGATGATCGAAGGTTTTACATATTCATTTCATTGTTTTTTCTTCTATCTCTAGAAAATTGCGACTGGAAGGACATTCAGCATAAAGCTTTGCAGTTTAGCTATTTTGTTCTCTTGTCCACTTTTTTTGTTTTGATTTAGTTGTCAACTTTTTTATTTTGATATGTGTGGAATCAATTGTCAATGTTCCATTTAAAAACAAATTATGATGAATTGTCTAAAATATCCTAGAGATAGGGTGTGAATGACTTATTTGACATTTTAAACTCATTTTTTTAAAATGTGATTTTTTTAAAAGTGGACAACTAAATTCAGACGGAGGGAGTACGAGTTTATAGTTATAACTAATTGTAGAAAAATAGATAATTAATCAACACCATAAGTTTCATGTAACCTATGCCACCATAGGTGCCTCAAATGTTATTGTTTGCTTATGTTAGTTTCACTAATCTTACTAACTTCAGGTTAATGAAAATTATTATATACTCCAAAATGTACTTTTTTGTGCTCTTAGACTCTCCGCAATGCTCGAGCACTAGGGTGTTTGGAAGCCAATTAAGTTCTATTTGCCAAACTTTTTCTACAAAAAAAAGAAAAAAAGATTAGGTTGCCTAAATAGTTTTGGATTTGTTACATGGTTTATTGGAAGATAGCAATTTACATTACCAATTGCTCTAAGAATGCAGTTTTCAGCCTTTCATAAGTTTCATTTATTAAAAAACCAAAAGTGGTGAAAGTTGAAGTATATTACTGCTATCTCCTAGTATTATGTGCTACCTCTGCTCAGGAGAACTCATTTCATGAAACCCTTCTTATCTTAATAAGCATTTTCATCTTTCAGTTCTATTCTATCATCTTCTGGGCAGCTCCTCAAGATATATCAAATTATCAACATAGGAATGGCAAGGTCCACATAAATCATTTATTAAATTACCAGGAGTAAATCATTTTTTAATTGATAATTTTGCCAAAAATGAGTATTCTTCAATGAATGTTTCTTTCACTATATTGTTTTATTATTCTTTTTTATGGCTTTCTGTTTTTTTAGTGACATGGATTCAATATTTTCTTAAAGATATTACTTACAGAGTATTTTATACTCCGTAACTAGGAGACTATTTGGAATGGTTTTCACATCGTGGTATCACAGTAGACTTTACCAACTTACACTTCTAAAATTATGTCTTTGGCATTTTATATTTTTTTAATGGTGCAAATTGACTTTAAAAATGCTAAATCTTAAAGCCACTATGGGATACTATTTTCAAAACACTAAAGTTAAATGCCAAATGAATCCAGTATTTAGTGATACTAACAAAAACTAAGTAAAGTCTGTGTGATACTAACAAAACTAATTAAACGCCATATATTTATATTGTTGTTATAGTCTTTTAGCATTGCATATGTTGTATAGTAACTCCCATAAAAAATTAAAATTATCATATATACATACATACATGTGTGTGTGTGTGTGTGTGCCCGTCAGTGTGTGTGAGAGCTGAACTAAACTGAAGTGGAAATTACTGAATTGGACTAAAAATAAAATCGAAAATAATGGACTCATAAACTAATTATGGATATGTAATTATTTTTATTCTATCCGTCTTTCACTCCATTCGTTTGGCTATTTCATTTTAGACATTTGGCAATATCTCCGTCCAATAAAAAAGGGAAACACTACTTCACTACAACCCATAAAGAAACATGGAAGGCTATTATAGAATGAAGGGGCTAGTGTTTAGGCAATGTTTTTTTCCTTGGTACAAGTTTAGGAAATGTTTGGTAAACAAAAATACAATGCAATGTAATTAGATTGAAGTAGAAATATTTTATAAGAATGGGTTCCATACTTCCATTACGGCTTAAAAAATGTTACCTTGGAATATTTCAGGTGTTTTCTATCCTTTACTCCGTGTAATCAATTTAAAACATTACTTATTCCATTTTTTGATTGTGTAGAGGTTTGATCGATCTGGAACTGGAAGTTACCGAAAGAGGATGCCGACTACTACTTCACACAGACTGAGGCCTATAAACCATAATACTGTTGGTGTTTTTGATTCCTTAAGCAGTGCTTGTTTAATGGAGGTGATGATTCTCTCCCTCCCAAGTTTTATATAGTGGTTTATTTACTCTGTACCTCTTTACGTCTTTCATTCAACTAATCAGAAGGTGCCCTGAAAGTCAGTTTCTGAAACTTGTGTATAATCTCTTGTGACATATCTCTTTGAGAAATTCTATTTTTAATGCTTAGGAACATTAATGGGACTATTACTTTTCTTTTTGATGATAATGGGATAATTACTTTATCAATGCAGATGGAGACAAGATCTCGTGCCAGTGTATCCGTGGTTGGTGTAAAAACCCATCTGAAAGACATTAGTAATGCTTTGACCACATCCAAAGAGCTATTGAAAATAATCAATAGGATATGGGCAAATGCTGATCAGCCATCTTCTACTACGTCTCTTGTTTCGGCTTTACATGCTGAACTCGAAAGGGCCCGCCTTCAGGTTAACAAGCTAATAATACAAGAACACCACTCAGATCAAAGTGAGATCAATCACCTCATTAAGTGCTATGCTGAAGAGAAAGCTGCTTGGAAAAACAGGGAACAGACAGCAATTGAGTCTATTGCAACTGAACTTGAGGTGGAGAGGAAACTAAGGCGACGGTGTGAGAACTTGAACAGTAAACTTGGGAAAGAGCTGTCTGAAACAAAAGCCTCGCTCGTGAAGGTTGTGCAAGAACTGGAGGACGAGAAGAAAGCAAGAGAGACGATAGAACAGATGTGTAATGATTTAGCAAGGGACATTGATGAAGATAGAGCAGAGGTGGAAGATTTGAAAATGGACTCTGCAAAAGTTCGTCAAGAGATTGAAAAGGAAAGGGTCCTTACAAAATTCTCAGAGGCCAATAAACATCAGGTTACTGAGAAAAATTCTGCTGTTGACAAGTTGAAGAAACAACTCGAGGCATTTTTGGGCAGGAGAAAATCTAGAAGGAAGGGAAACACCTCTAAAAAAATGGCCGCATGTTTGAATAAAACACTTATTACCTCCCACCACCAGAATATGGAGAAAGAAGATGATGGGGAAGAGTCAGCAGAGAGTGATCTTCATTCTATTGAACTGAGCATGGAAAACAATAACAAGAGCTCCAAGGGCACTTATCTTTCACCCATTAGCCGTGGGTGTAAGCGAATTTCAGTTGATGAAGCGAAAGCACGGAGCTCTCTTAGTGGGCAGGCACCTAGAACCAACACTACACTTCTAAGGAGGATTTCAGATGCAGTTGACTGGGGGGGCACTGAAGCAGGAAACCTTCAAAATCCAGGCCATGGATTAGATTTGGTGAGGCTCCAAGAACTTGAGAAACATGGTAAAGAATATGCTTATGCAGAGGAAATACAAAGAATAAAGGCAATGGCAGGGATGAAGAACCATACTCTAGCTTTCTCCAGTCCTTCTCGACAATGGGACCAACCTCGGGGCTCCCAAGATACTTGCATTACTCATGAGGGTGCTGCGTTGAAGTCGAGGCTTGGTGTTGGAAGATCAAAATGGTGAATCTGATCATATACCGTTAATACTTGCCTTCATATAGATGCAAGACTGCATATAGCATTTCCAAAGAAGTTGGCATCTTGATTAACATTTTTTTTTAAATGTTTGAGTGAATAGGTGTTTCTGTAGAAATGGGTTGCTAATGTACTCTTGAGTGGCCTTGTGTAACAACTCTTCAAGTGTATTGTTAGATTAGAATGATCCATTTCATTCCTAGCTGAATATCCTCCCACACATTTCCTCCGCTTTTAGTTTTCCATATATAAGAGCATACCTTCCTCTGACGGTCCTTTGAAGATTGGAGCCATTCTAAATTCCACCACCAACACCCCCCCCACCCCCCGCGTGCACCAGAATATATGTTTTTACATACTCCCTCCGTTCCTATTTTGATTATAATTTTATTTTCTCTCTACTCTTGATAATTTTTATTTATATGTGTGTTTTCATTGATTATTTAATAAAATAAAATATTATTATCATCTCTTGTTTTGTATAACTTTGGACGTAGTTTTCTAATATGTAACTTTTATTTCTTATTGAAAATCGTGGAAAATAAATTTGTAATCAAAATAAGAATTAAGGGAGTATAAAAAGACCAAGGAAATAAGGGAGAAATTTCCCAAGTAGGAAAGTTTTCCGGAGTAATTTCCCCAATTAGAATTAGAATATTGAGTAGCCCACATGCAGTTTTTTTAAATGCTTTATTTCGAGAAAAATGCTAGGGGTACACCAAAGATGTACCCCAAATGTCCCTCACCCCCTCCTTGTCCACTAAAAAAGGCAAAAACATTCAAAAAAATAAGTAAATAAAAATCAAATAAAAATGTGTGGAGGAAAAGAGGGTGGTGTACATTTGGGGTACACCATTTGGTGTACCCCTAGCATTGCTCTTGTTTCTTATTTCTAATACTGCATATTCAAAAGCACGGTACCATAGTTACACTGTCAACTAGTCTGCCACATGCAACTCAAATACTGCGCATACAAAAAGGTTGTGTGAAATAATTGCGGGTTACGAACAAAAATTTCTTATTTTCTGAAATCATTTTATTTACAAATTGGTATATCAATAAGATATAAAAATTACATATTAAAAAACTACGTCAAAAGTTCTACGAAATAAGATGTGACAAGAATATTTTATTTTATCAAATACTTAATGAAATTGCATAAACAAACAAAAGTTATCAAGAGTGGAGAGAAAAAAATTGTAATCTATTTAGGGATAGAGGGATTAATTTTAATTATTAAGTCTCACCCCATCTGCAACTCGAATACTGCGCATACGGAACGGTGGTGCAAAATACTCCCTCCGTCCTAAAATTAATTTCTCAGTTTGACTTTTGCAGTCAAATTTTTTAAACTTTGACCGTAGATTAAGCAAAAAATACATTGAATTTTCATATAAATTTATTAGGAATAGATTCATTTTGGAATATAGTTTTGAAATAAATAATTTTTATAAAATATATTTATATAAAAATTGAGATATTGATGGTCAAAGTGTCGCATTAGAGATCGTGAAAAGTCAAATGGGAAGTTAATTTTAGGACGGAGGGAGTAATTTTTAAGTCTCACCTCATCTGCATGCTTAATTAGGCAAAAAAAAGACACAATCTTCCATGTTTTTCTATTTTAATCATATTTTATGCTTTATAATCCATTTTGATCCACATTATTAATTTTTTTAAAAGTAGAATTGGAAAATAAATACTGATTATTTAAAGTAATACATACAACTCTTGTAATAAAAACTATAATTTAGAGGACAACAACAATAATCTAGTTAAAAAATCATAATTGAGAAAAATAGTAAAATGAATGAAAATGTACAAATTATGTGTAAAAAAATGACATTTTAGTTAGGTCAAATTTGCCACCGATGGTACCAAAACTTAGTAACTTTTCTATTGTGGTACTAATAATGTTTTTTCCATAAAGTGTACTATTGTTGACATGATCTTCCTTTTTTATCTTCTCCTATCCATGCCTAAATTTGATCTCCTACTTGGATGTTATTTTTGCGTGGCGCGCTCCTTTTTAGCCTTAGTCATCTTCTTCGTCGTTTTTTCAAATCAGAATGATCAACAATTCTTCTTTTCTTTCTCAAATCTGCTAATTCAATGTCTGCTCAAAAGGATTTTCCTTCGTATCATATATTGCTGAATGTTGATGGCCAATGGAGCGATGATTCCTCCTTTCATTGTAAACATAATTGTGAGTTGTTCATCCATTCTCAAAATTTGTTTGCACACCTAAGCAACGCGGTTTGTCTAGCGACTGGTGACGATTATGCGCAATATGTTTTTCGATTTTCGTATTTGTTGCAAGTTTGCCCTCCCCCTGTTGTTATTGATGATGATTCTAGTCTTCAATTTTACTTGCAACTAAAATCCTTTTACTGAGATGATATGATGTTGCCCTTATGTGTTCAATTCCTTCCCAATTCGCTTAATGTGACATCAAAACATGTTTCTCCTCCTAACACGTACAATGCCTTTAATTTCATATGACAATAATTCAATGTCTATTGGGACATTGCACTTCCCAATAATCTAAATACTGTTTCATTAATGGCTGAATTTGGTCTTCAACCTCCATCCTCAATGTCTTTGATTTCCAGTTTCGATGACAATAATTCAATGCATATCGGCAATGAAGAGAATAATGTCTCATATTTTGCTAAATATCAACTCTTACTTCATCCAACAATGTCTACTAGTTTCAGTTCATCATCAATGCCGTTGACTATGGATGGGACAAGTTATGATTCAGAAGACACTGATTATTCATTCTAGTCACCATGATGTTAATAGGAAGAATGTTGATGTTTATGAACCACCTTTGAGGGATGTCATTAGCACTGGTCCAATGAAATCTGAGGAAGTAGTGTATACGTCCCCAGAATTTGAGATCTTATCCCATTTCCACCCCACTAGAATAGCCCTTGATGCAATATATGAGAGCAAGAAAGTGCTAGATTACCATTTTAAAAAGGTTGGATATTAGCAACTATTTTCAATATATTAGCAACTATTTTCAATATAGATCGAGGAAATCCACGAAGAAAGTTTTATATGTTGTATGTGTAGATCGTAGAAGGTGCAAGTGGACTGCCAGAGCTGTTTGCATGCCACATGGTGAAATTTTTCATATTTGCAAGTAGCATTTCTAGTCATTATGTTGCTAAATATTCTTAGACTTCACTGCTTTGTTGTCCAAAGCTATGCATCGGTGGTGTTTAAACTGGTATAAGACATTTTTTATATGTGTTTTAAGTATTTACACTATAATGCACCTTTTTTGTAGTCAAACCTCTTTCATTTACTTTTGTTCAGAAAATTGACTTATTGTCTTCATATATTTGAAGCACTGTTGTATGTCTTTATTTACCTCTTGTTTCTGAAATTTGATGACATTATATGAAGCATGTGTTTTCTCCCAGGTATGACTTTGAACATCAATGTCTTGTTGATGTTATACACAATAAGACTCACCAGGCCACTTCTCCATTGTTGCGAACCTTATCAAGCACTAATTCAATGATGTGACACAGAAATCGTATCCTCCCAAGTCCATAATAATCGACATGCGAGGCCATAGAATTTTTATGAGTTATAAGAAAGCATGGTTTGCGAAAGAAAAGGCTTTTAAATTAAGTTTTGGATAAGATGAAAAGTCGTATGCAATGCTGCCATCTATATGTTTTATGCTACAAAATTCAAATCCAGGTTTCACTATTGAGCTCAACACATCAGACAATGGGTTCTTTAAGTATTTCTTCATGTCTCTATATGCTTGGAAAGATGGATGGGCTCACTGCATTCCAGTTTTGATTATTCATGGGTCATTCATGAAATTATGTTATACAGCTACGTTGCTAACAGCTGTGGCACGAGATGGGAACAAACAAATATTTCCATTGGCCTTTGCCATTTATGATGTTGAAGATATTACAAATTAGACTTAATTTTTTAAAAAGGTTAAATAGGCAAGAAGTGAAGTATATTGTCTCTAACCGTCATGATGGAATTTTAAGTGATTTGGAGTCTATTTTTCCAAAGGTTATGCATGGGCATTAATGTATATATCACATTCTGGGTAACATTAAGACGTCATTTCATGGTTCTGCAAATGCTGTTACATGGAAGTTTATTCATACTGCAAGGCTGCAACTGTTCGTGAACAGAATTGGTATATGAGATTGCTAGATGAAGAGGATCCAACCATTTAGCCAATATATTGACTTATTGTGTGACCTTGATTGGAAATCTGAGTATATATAGACTCAAAATCAAGAATAAATTAAGAAATTGATATGTGATATAAATATTGAAATGATTTGATAAAATAAATCATGGCAATTAATAATATGAAGTGAATATGAGCGCCTATTTATAATAAAGGTCAAATAAATAAATTTTGATTCTGTCAAAGTCAAACACCCAAAAATATGATGTCGAAAAAATATTATAAATAAATATAAAAATTATGTCATTGGATAGAGTTTAATTGTCCGATCTCAACGGTGCAAACAGAATTCACTCTATATATGACATGAGAAATGTTCGAATCACAAACAAAACAATCACAAAAATCATAAACGTAGTATTTGAGAGCATAAAAAAAGACCGAATTGTCGATCCCAAAAAATTTAAAAAGTTATAAATTTAAATGTATAAATAGTAAGTTTGCGTATTTTGTACTTATTTTATTTATAATTTTAGCATTTCTCACATGACATTCTACACCATTCTTTAATATTATATGTTGACATTATTAAAAATATACGAAGTACTCGTTATATTTTATTTTGAGGATAAAATATGAAGATGTTAATTTGTTTGTCTTTTTCCTTAATGAAAAACGATGAACTCTATCTCCGATGATCCTTTAAAACTGTCTGGAAGAAACTAACAAAAAGAGATAATTTTAAGTTTGATCACATATTTGGAGTAATAAGTGGAACCAACATCTGATAAGTAAGTTGGGGTTCAGTGACAAGTGGATTGATATCATTTTTAGACTCTTGTCAAATAACTGGTACTCAGTTATTATCAATGGAGCTAGAGAAGGTTTTTTCACATCCAGCAGGGGCTTGAGGCAGGGGATCCTCTGTCCCCTGGCTTGTTTATCATTGGAGCTGAGCTCATTTCTCAAATGTTAAACTAGAGAATCCAGCAACAGGCCTCTTGTCTCTTTTCTCAACCTAAAGGAATCCCTCCTTTGAACCATTTAGCCTTTGCTGATGATATGATCATCTTCACTTCTGGTAAAGGTAAAACTATACAACTCATTATGCAGGACCTTCACACTTATGAGCAGGTTTCTAGGCAACTGATAAGTGTACATAAGAGCTCCTTCTACATGCACCCCCACACTTCTGTGGCTTCTATAAAGAGAGTTCATGATATTACTCAATTTGTTCACAAATCCTTTCCTTTTGAGTATCTGGGTTGCCCTATATATAGAGGAAGGATGAGAAATAGCTACTTTACCTCCTTACTCCATAAAGTCAGCCAAAGGTGTCAAAGCTGGCAAGGGAAACTTTTGTCTTATGGAGGGAAACAAGTTTTAATAAAAAGTGTTCTACAAGCTATACCAGCTCATCTTTTCTCTGCTGTTTCTCCCCCGAAGGGAGTTCTTCACAAGTTGGAATAACATCTTGCCAATTTCTATTGGGGGAGTCAGGATAACAAGCAGAAATATCACTGGAGCTCTTGGACATACATTAGTCATCCTACCTGTGAAGGGGGTCTAGGCTTCTCTTCTATGAAAGCCTTGGTTGATGCTAACAGTGCTAAACTGTGGTGGAACTTTAGAACTATACCCTCCCTTTGGGGGCAGTTTCTAAAAGCCGAATATTGTCCTCGGGTACATCCTATTGTTAAAAAATGGCAATATGGAGATTCGCATGTGTGGAAGAGAATGACCTCTATTAGGCCACATATTGAACCCTTTATTGGTTGGAGAATCTGTGATGGCTCAGTCAGTTTTTGGTGGGACAATTGGAGTGGCATTGGGGCACTTGGTGCTGTTTCTAATCAACTCAATGGGAAATATCTTTTAGAACCTTTTAAAACCTATACTTTGAACAAGCAGTTTGACTTTTCTAAATTGGTTGACATTTTTTATCCTGGCTTTTTCTTCCATTTCAATGTGAATCTGGATCTGATTGGTTCCAATGTGCCTGACCAGCCCATTTAGAAACCAAAGAGTAATGGTCAATTTTCTATGCAAGCAGTTAGCATTATCTTAGGCCCAACAACTCAGTGGATAATGTTATTATTAATGGTTGGCATCCATGTGTTCCTTTTAAAATCTCTTTCTTGTACTGGAGGGTCCTCTTTCAAAAGCTTCCCAGGGATGATTTTCTCATGCATATTGGAATTCCCACTGTCTCTAAATGCTATTGTTGCACTCATCCTCACGTGGAAAGTTTGGAGCATGTGTTTTGTAATGGGGAACTTGCTCACCAGGTTTGGAAGCACTATGAGTATGTGTTCGGTATCCATGGAAATTCTCACACCATCAGACAACATCTACATTTATGGTGGAAGAACAAACTTCATTCCAAGAAACCTGCTATTAGAGAATTCCTTCAACAGTGTGTCCCTATTTTCATTCTTTGGGGGGTCTGGAGAGCCTATTCTTCTATCAAATATGGGGGCTGAAGTGGCTAGAGTCATCCATCTTGTGGGGAAAGAGGCTGCTGAAGCTGCATCCAGAAAGTGGCCTTCCTTAAATGAAGTTCTTCCCCACTGGAAATCAGTGTTCAAACTTGCAGGCACTTTACCCAAATCCTTTATAATCAAAAAGGTTTGTTGGCAATATCCTGAGGGAGAATCTGTTAAACTTAACCTTGCTCTTGATGGAGGACAATTTCCTCATCAAACTGCTGCAGCTGCTGTCCTAAGGAATAGCAAAGGGGAATTCCTTTTTGGTTATGCTTCTTCCAGCCATAAACCAAAGTACATGGTCTATTTGGAAGTTGGAGCAAGATGACTATTTAAGAAAGTTTCACTTTCTTCTCTCTTGTGTTAAGAGCTCCTTTGAGGTGTGTGAGAAGCAAGTAAACAGACTGCCTCATTTCTTGGTGACATGGAGCTGTAATCAGTCACACTCCTTCCAGTTTTTCTCTGTCTTTTACTTGCCCCTTGAAGCACAAAAGTTACATCAATTTGATCTTAGACAATATCCCAGTTATGCCTCGACCAGTGCTAAACCTGGTAAGGATGATCCCCTCAGTTAGCCCCTTCTGTTGTTCGGTCTGGCCTACTTGGTGGGCTATTCTTTACTCCATTGTTTGCACAACGCTTGCTGTTGACTACATTTGGGATTATCAGGAGGACGTTTTTATTCCTTGTTATGTTCTCTCTCTTTTATGGTGGTATGCTCTTGTGAATTATGGTTATGTTGGTGGTTCTATTTGGTGGCTTTGTATAGAGCGTTATTCTGTGAAGAATCTTTACAGCTATCTAAAAACCATTACGTTTGCCATGACTATGAAGAATTTTATTTTCTTCTAGTCTTGGTGGGTATGGTTTTGTGTAGTTGGGTAGGACCAGCCGTTGGCTTGGCTGTTTGCTTCGGTGTGAGTGTGGTCCTACCCTTTTTGAAGTACCTGATTGTGAGGCTGTGCTCTTTGGCCATTGTGCTTCGTTTGGACTTGTGTTGTTTTGTTGTTAGGACCGTATGTGGCACTGGTTATGCCGTAGTATAGTGGTTTTGTTGCTAGTTAGGACCTTCTTGTGGCCTTGGTCAAGCCTTTTTCTAGGTTCCCTTACCCCTTACTTTTGAGGATTGTTCCCCCCGGAAGGTTTGTCTTCCGTATGAGGGGCTGACTTTAGGCCTCGGTTTGGTCCTCCCCTCCTTTTGTATCCTCATGCTTTCTTAATAATAGCTGGTAAGGGGTTGCCTAGACTTTACCCCATCGAGTTTGGTGGTTTGCCCGCTGGGATAAAAAAACATCTGATACTTGCAAGACTTATACTCCTCCCGTCCCTAAATGTTTACCACATTTTCTTTTTCAACAATCACGAGAACTTTTATTTATTTGTACATTTTTATTGATTAATTGATAAAATAAAATATTTTTAAGACATCTTATTTTAAAAAACTTTTCACATAGTTTTTAACATAATATGTTAATTTTATTTTTATGCCAATGTTTAACTAAAATAAATTCAAAAAATTTAATATTTACATTTTTTGAAATGTGGCAAAAATTTAGAGGGAGGGAGTCTTTAGTATAATTATCTCTAATGGAGAACACATGAACACAACTCTTTTTTCCTAGTAAAGTAGGGACTTAGGGAGTACTCCGTATGGAGGAAGAACTGAAGAAGTACTCCGTATCTTATTTCTCTCTACCATCACTGGACTGTATACGAAGTTTATTCACGGGATAATGGATCGCAATAACCTACTTTCACCACTCGTTCCTTCATGGACATCGGTATCTGCCATTTCTTCTAATTTCTATACTTGCGCGCTCGCGCGTATGTCTAACTATGTGTTGCTAAATTAGGCTGCCATGCTACTCTCCTTCTTCGTTTATCTGGGGATTGCTGGATCTGTTCTTCCCGGAAAGCTCGTTCCTGGAGTCATTTTGTCCGATGGCACTCGCCTCAAGTATCGTTGCAATGGTACACGCTGACTATTGACATGATATACCTTCGATTGAAGAGTTTTGTCAATTGAATTTGCGAGTATTCTTGATTTGTAGGTTTGTTATCACTTCTTCTGTTAGTTTTACTACTTGGATTTGGAGCAGGGATAAATCTTGTACCGCCCACTGTAAGCACTTAGCTGATTTTGGATATTCCAAGTATATACTGGTAGTCATGTTAACCAATTTGATGACAACTTCACATCTTAATTTTGATACAAGTAATGTTTTCTTTTAGTTAATAGAATTAATACGTGTCCAGTTTGGAGGAGCTCAGATCACATGAAATACCAAGTAGCATTTTAGACCGTAATATTGGACACATGAATTTGACAGTAGAGATGTTATTAAAATAAACTTCCCATCATAACATTTCCCTCAATTGATGTAGTACTAGTATTTGAGATTTGAGAATAAGGTTAGTAAGTTAGTGGCTCCTTTTATTATTTGTTTTCACAATATTTTTTTCAGTTTTTTTTTTGTGAGGTTTCTCCCCTTTTTACCTTTTTTTGTATTTATATTTTGTACACTCTTTCAAGTTTCAAGAATGTAAGAATCTCTAAATTTTGGGTCTAATGATCCCGGATGGAAGTATGTTTCAAGTGTCACAAAAACAAATAGGAATGACACCATTTGCCTAATTTGTAACAAAATCCATGAAGTCTATACTTTGATTCTTGGTTGCTTTCTAAAGTTTTCATATGCTTTTCAACATTTTATATGTACTATTACTCTTTTAGAGATGCTATGCTACTTATGCCTCAATGTGCACATTGTATTCGTGATGCGCGTGCATCAATAGCACATCGCGCATCGAGGCGCTAGAACCCCTTTTTGCATCGGTGCGCATCACGCCTTAAATAACTATGACAATGCTGTAACGGAGTACTCGTTACTGCTTAAATTGCTTTAGTAGACAGATATTTATATATGACCTTACTACATGCTACAATAACATATTCTAGAAATTATAGTCTGGAAGTGACATACTCCGTATTTTGTTTGCCTTATAAATATTTATAGTAAACATTGAAAGTCTAGATTTTTTTTGTTGAGGAAACTTTAGAATTTTTTATTGCTTAATTAAAACTGGCATCTTGTCTTTCTAATCCAAACTTTGCTGGTCTTCAAGAAGGATGCCCTTTAAGTTTTGCTAGTTTGATACAGAGTATTAGATCTATGATAGGTTACATTCCTTTAAACCTGGAACTCGCTAGAACATGCTTCATATTTTCGTATTTAACTTTCTAAAATAAAGTTGCAACTTTATTCATATTCGTGCAGGCAATAGCAGACAAAGGGATTGAAATCTTGTCAATGACATTTATATTCAGTTTTTTGGTAAGTTCAGTCTCCATTTGTTTCGCCAGAGAAAAAGCTAGTACTGGCCACCCTGAGTGGATTCTAATTTATAAATAGGGATGGCGAGTATAGATTCCTCGCCCCATACCCACCTAGATTTTTAACCCACCACTCGCACCACCACTCGAATAGCCAATCTTTTTCGCCCCATTTACCTTGAAAAATCCACTTAACCAATTATTGTACTTTCATATTCAAATTAAATATCATTGAACATAATATTATATTTGCAATAGATTATAATAAATTTTCAAAAAAAGTTAATGAGAAAGACAAAAAACCAAAAATGTAAAACATTATTTTGGCTCTTTATATGTATTATTGAGAGTTGAATTTATACGGAGTATAATTTTAACTAGAGTTGGCAAATTGGTGGATCAGGTTGGGTAACCTCATGTTTGATTTAGTTTGGGTTTGGGTTTGGGTTGAGATATGCATGGTGATGACCTTGTGTCATCAAGTTCAGATCAATCTAATGGGTAGTGGGTGTTTATTTGAAAAATATTAAATTTATCCTAACACTTGTATTTTTCATAAATATGTAATAACTATAAAATTATATCAATTAAATGTAATAAAATATCTCTGTTTTGAAATTTTAATTATTTGTTTTAGATATCTACCACTAAATTATAAGCAAAATAATCTTTTTAAATGTTTACAACAACGAAAACCAGTAGAATCGCACGAGAGTAGGGTTTGGGGAAATATTTAAAAATAAGTTTATACAATAAAATGGAGTAACAAAGAAAATAAAATAACATGATTTTTATGACTTTATACTGCATATTTCATACCAAAGGAAATGATTTTGAAAAAAAATCCTTCTTTAGGCTAGCCGATCACGTTAGATTCAGGTTTTGTTAGGTTTGACCCATTTTTAGTGGGTCCTTTCCTGTTTGGCAAACATTTTTTTCGGTTAAAACCAGAGTATCTTTTGTCAGCTCTCGGATAAAAATGGGCGACTCAATTTTTCCAAATCTAGTTTTCACATATATTATTAATTAAAATTACGGTTCATGGGGCAGCATTATGTAGATAAATAAACATGCACTCCCCAGGTTTAGAGTAACTTCAACCATCGGCCCACTAACCATGGCGCTACAATTTTTATGCATGCTGGTTCCAAAAAAAATGTTACCTTTGAACCGGCTAAGTATGTTGTGTGCAAGACTATCAATTCTGGCCTATCCAAACAAGAAATTTGTATGCCCAAAATGTTTGTCCCTTTGTTTACCAGTTTTCAATATTTTCTATTCTAATTTTTGTGTGCCATACATGCAAGGCAACACTAGCACTCTATGTTGTTGGATTCAAGTGCAAAGGTTGCAGCTCATCTATGAAGCCTCATGTAACAGGAAACATTATCAATGACTGGTAATTCACTTAGTTTATGCTCGAGTGAAGTACACCTTACCTTTTGGCTCGAACAATGAATATACGTGGGATATATATATATATGTATGTATGTATGTATGTATGTATGTATGTATGTATGTATGTATGTATGTATGTATGTATGTATGCATGTATGCATGTATGCATGTATGCATGTATGCATGTATGCATGTATGCATGTATGCATGTATGCATGTATGCATGCATGTATGTATGTATGTATGTATGTATGTATGTATGTATGTATGTATGTATGTATGTATGTATGTATGTATGTTCAATTCTATTTCTTTGAGCGCTATTGACTCTATTACAATGTAGTACTTGTTCATACTTTGCTCAACTTAATAACGCACAAAGAGCAAATGCCTCTGCCTCCATTGGGGCTCGAACCTAAGTGAACTTCTCCATAAATCCCGGGGAGTGAGCTTCCTACGACTGAAGCCACTGAAGCTAGAGGAGAAGTTCTACATGGGATGTATTAAAACCAATCCAAACAAACTCAGTAAGTTTTTTCAAGAGTAGGATTTGAGGAGGAGGGTCAAGAGTTAGATGTACACATGCCTTCTATTCCAAGAAGTAATGAGATGGTTTTTTTGAGGACTCTAGGCTAAGGAAAAAAATTTGAGGTAGGGGAAGATGTAAAAAATATGAAAAAACTATTGAAAAACAATAGCATGTACTTTTGACCTCCCGTGTCCATGATCTTTGAGACATGACGAAGTGGGACACATATTAAAGCAAAGCGATATTGTATGATTGATATTTAATATGTAAAGTATGGATAAAGTAAGAATGATTTTAAACCAAACAACTTCGTGCAATCCCCCACTTTTTGGTGTATGAAAAAATTGCTCAGCACTACAATGTATGATGTTGTCTTCATGTTAACTTCACTTTTAACAACTTAACCTTTTTACAGTGTGTGATGTCCTCTTCACTCTCTCCCTTTTTCGGGATGGCAGAGCACAAATGCTGTAAAGTTCTTCAACTCTTTGCTCGCCATTGTTGACTCACACTCTCCCCTCATTGTGCTTCCTGCTAGAACTTTACTAGAGATATGTGGTCTTAGAAGTTAGAACAGTTAATTAGCAAATCTATTGTTTACGATGTGGTATGCCATTGTAATATTGAGTGAAATTCTTGACATCAAGAAAAGGAAATCTTGATATCAAGAAGGGAGTGGGGAGAGGAGATGTAAAACAAGATCAGAGGAATTCGAGAGAGAGAGAGAGAGAGAGAGAGATAGAGAAGTAGATACTCCCGTATCTGAATAATCTATATGCAAAACAAACAGAAACTTAAGTAATAATTATAGCTATAGGTAGGAATCCCCATGTGGGTAGGACTCCTCACTAACTTACTAACTAAGGGCTAACAGAGTAATTTAACCACAGCTGCTCACAATCTCAAGGATTTTATTATTATTACATAACATTTCCCATTTAGGCCCCTCCCCCTACAAGCGAGCCTTTCCCTCAAGGATCAACAACAAAATATGTGAATTCTGGCTGAAAGGTAAACAGGGGCACCCACGACGCTTTGTCATCGGCCATGTCTTACTGGACCAAGATCTCAGTGATCCCCCTTATCATCTTATTCCTCTTGTTCAACATCTATGCCTAGGTTTCACAAGTCACAACACATCCTCCACAAATTTTTTGAAGGGATACATGAAATGTAGGGTGTATCCTAGACTCTGGAACCAAGTCTTGCATGGATGCCGCGTACCCTATTCTCTTAATCACCAAGCCAATTTTTGTGAGGACCTTATAACTGTAGAAATCTGTCTACATGGCTTCAATTTTAAAAATACCCACTATCCTACCGCAAATTCATGATCATGCCTGGAACAATCAGCCTTTAGCTTCGTAGTATTGGCTGCCCTGTGTAAGTGATGCTTCATAATATCGGCTGCCCTTGTTGTTGTGTGCTTTGTATGCTTGGTGCTCTCTAATTACATTACTTTTGATTCGTTGACTCTAGTTTGTTCTTTGCCTCTCTGTGCTTTGTCCTATATCTATGCTTTATGTATATCCTGTGATCTTTTTGTTTGTGCAGCTTGAGCCGTGGGTCTCTTGGAATGAGCCTCTCTACTTTCGAGTAGAGGCAAGGATACCTGAGTGATTGCACCGACTCTAGTATTATCTTCAATAAAGGAGAAATCTTCTGAATAACTAGTTATTCTTTCCTTCTCAACAGTTGACCGTGTGAAATGCTCCCATATACCATTGGCTTGCTGCACCTTTGCTAAAAGAGTCTTGACCCACTAATCCTTCTCCCAATTTTCTTTATTTTAATATTTCTAAAGGTTGTGCTGTAAGAAATCTGAAATAAGTCGTGTTTAATCGTCCCTGAGAGTGCATCCTCTGCTGAACCAGTCCCCTTCTTTTACACAAACTTTGCTTATCTGTTCTTATGATAAAGTTTCCCCTTTCAAGTCACCAGTATCACTTCCAGGGAAGAACAGACAACACAACAACCATCAACTCTTTTTCGTAGATGGAAAGAGATGAGTGTTTAGGTGACAACCCTTCTCTAAAGAAAACAAGTGGTTGCCCTTGTTGCATCAGAACAGCACCAAGTTTAGATGCACAAGCATCTGACTCAACAAATGGCTTATTCAAATCTGGGAGGGTTGCCCTTGTTACTCTTTTTAAAACCCAATTTCACTTTTTAAGTCTACACAAATCACAAATAAATTGAATTGAAAATAGCTTTGGTCAAACATCGTAAACCAACCTGGAAACTTCATTTTGGTACGGAGCCGATGTAGTTTTTATGCTCCCACTTGAGATAGACTTCATTTTGGTACGGAGGGAGTATAATTTTTATTCTCTCGCTTGGGACATTGTAAAATCATGTAAACATAAATGAAAAGTTAAGGTGATAGCTACGAATGATTTTATTGATATATGACATCATCCTCATGACAACAACGAACGACAAAAACATGTTGTGTATTCCCACTGGTGGGGTAAGGGGAGAGTAGGATGTAGAAAGACCTTACCTCTATTCTCATGGCATCACTATAATAACTTCATCATCTTGATTAGTGTATATAAATGGCTATAAATATACCTCATTTGTACAACTCAAAATCGATTTGAATATAGATTTATCTGTTTCCACATAAATGTTCTTTTATTCTTATATACTCCGTATATTGCTACAATGTTATTGGATTGCATGTATGTTTATTTCTCGTTGTTGCTTTTCATTAACCTTTGTTTTGGATATTTTAATGCATTGACACGATTTTTTCTCAAATAGGTGGTTTGGGGTACAGTTGAATCCTCAATTCATGGGCATTGATCTGAAGTGTGTTACTTGCCTCCAACATTACACTTTTACTTGACATGATATTTTCTAAAGATTACACTTTTCCAATCTGTTCCTACATATATTCATGCTGGCTGGGCCATGAAACCTTCTTTTGTAGATTTTTCTTTGTTAGAGCCGGAATGATGGGATGGTTGCTTATTAATCTTTCAATTCTTGCTAAATGTATTCAAGATGGAAATTTAAACCAATCAATGGTTCTCTACCAGATATTTAGTGGAGTGAGTACATTTCTCTCTCTCTCTCTCATTCTCTCTCTCCCTTCAGGATTTCTTACCTATAGCATTTCAATAGCATAGTATTTTCATGTATTTATGTGTTCTATTGGTAGAGTAATAGTTTTGTGTGATCTCGATTTATTGCAGCTGTATATTATTGACTACTTTTTCTATGAGGAATTTATGACCTCCACGTAAGTATATTTATATCCCTCTTTTTCAGTATCTTAGATTATTTTTACTAGTGCTAGAAGTATGTGCATCGTTTGTCCTATATCTCGTGAAGGTTCATTCCTTCATGTTGTTTTTTTCCCTTCAATCTGACATTATTTTATGATTCTTTTATTTCCCTGTTTTCTGTTTTAACTATATTAATCATGCCCATTCTTTGTAGGTGGGATATAATTGCAGAGAGATTAGGGTTCATGCTGGTTTTTGGTGATCTAGTTTGGATCCCTTTCACCTTCAGTATTCAGGTATGTAAAACTATGTGGTTTATTTATTTACTTGAATCATACACATATTTGGCGATGCATTTTAAATCTTGTGTCCATGAGTGAATATTAGCTCATTTTTCATTTTTTTCCAAGTAGATAGATTAATTTTGGTGCTCAAAACATTGATGATGCATTAAGTATAAGATCATTTGTTTCCTTTTATCTTTTGGCCCTGTTTGGCAACAAGCTTTTGGTCAACTTTTTGTTCAAAAAGTATTTTTGGCTTAAATAAGATGTTTGACATTGGCCGAACATCTAATTCGGGTGTTTGCTGACAAGCTTTTTGGAGTGTGCTTTTCACAAAATACCCCACCCTCAATCATCCTCTCCTCCCTACACACTCTTCTCCCTTCGCTTCTTTTACTCCTAAACAGTTGAGCTTTTTTTCTCCTTATTTCGACATACAAAGCTTATGTTCGTGGAACTCTAGAACAAAGCATGGTGTTTTAACAACAAAATATTTCCATGCTGTTACGTTTCAAAAAAAACCAAACCTCGAAGTCCCTTTGCCACCAAATGATCTTCCCACTTTCCTTTTTTGGATGCCCAATTTTTTTTTCCTATTCCTTTTAAGGATAAAAATATGTGGTTTATATTATTTCTCTCTTCTCTTCAAACATTAACCACAAGAGTTCATTTTTTTTGGAATTTCTGTGCCATTTTTCACAATATAAGTTAATTTGGGGACAGATGGAATATATGTTTTGATTTTTTTCAAACTTGGAATTACCAAAAAACAACACTTTTTGTTGTTGTCAAGTTTCAATTTCAAGCTGTTCACTACGAGTTAAAATTACATTCCATTTCCTACTATCAAGTTCTAAGTTTGAGATTTGTATCAAGTAATGATTTCAACTTAAAGCTTGTTTGTTTCGTAAGTATAAATCTATACGAATGTTATGACACTCTAAACCACTTTTATTTTTCTGAATATTTGAGATCAAGTTGGCATCACATAGAGAAGAAAATAGTTATCCCACCTCCATTAAAGGACAATTGTTTCAATTTCAGTAGAGTGACATGTAATGCTCAAGTTTTCTTTGTGCAGCATTTATGATGTTTTCTTTTGTAATTAACCTAATTTTGGTAAGACGCATATGAATCAAACAGTAAATTATGAAAATAACATTACGAAACAAAGTTGACATATAAACTTTAAAGTATTCAAAATTTATTAGAACTAAGACTTACGTTATGAACAATAAATAAATGTGAACCTCATTAAATGAAACGTAGCTACTCAAACTTTTAATCAAAATTAATTTTGTAAATTAAGTACTCCACTTGTTCTATAGTTTACTTCCTATTTTGATTCTACACGATTTTTAATGCAGATAAAAGTACTCTGACTTTGCTAAATTGCCCTTCATATACTATTGTAAACGTGAAGTGTAATTAGCTGGAGAGAAAAGTAAACAAAGCAAATAGTAATATAGTATGAAATCTGGTTAAGATCAAGTGCAAGTGTGAAGTGTCTTATTTCAACCCAAGTCGCACACACGAGAAATGCCAATATTTAAGTCCCTCCAGAACATAGTTATGAAAGGCGAGCGCCTTGATCGCCTATGGCGTTTATGGCGCTGTGGCGAGGCTATAGCGCCTGCATTGGGCTGTGCATGGCGATGTCCTTGAGGCGAGGAATGGCGATCGCCATTTTCGATACTAATTATGGCGTATGGCGTTCGCAATTGACGCAATTAAGTTGTGGGTCAATATTTTCAGTGTCCAGACTTCATCCAAGGGAGCAATTAAATTGGGCTTGAGCCCGTTTCTAATTAAAGATCTGCAATTACCTCTTCCCGTAACCTGATCGTTGTTCCAGGCTTCCAGTCATAACTCGATCATCTCTTCCACTCGATTCAGCTGCGAATCTGCTCCCAGTCTTCTATCACAGCAGCAGGTCGCAGCTTCCAGCGGCTATTTCTCTGTCAATTTCCTCCAAGTGGTGTCGGCAGTCAACTAGGTCACTTTTCAATTCTTATTAGCTTTTTTAATTTGTGTTTTATACTTTTATTTTAAATTTTTGTATTATATTTTTAACTTTTGTATTATCGAGTATATGATAAATATGGAAAAATAATTTATGTTTTATTCTTCGAATTTAACTTAGCAACTTATTGTTTTTGTTTTCCTTTGAGATTTATATATTGTTTAAAACTTTATGATATGCCATGCACAATTTGTTTGTGTGTGTGTGTATATGCACNTATGTGTGTGTGCATACATACTCGCTTTTTTTTGTTCGCCATTTGACCGCCCGCCACTCGCCACGCCACTCGCCACAAAAAGGTCCTCTCGCCCGCCACTCGCCACTCGCCTTTCATAACTATGCTCCAGAAGCAAATTTGCACTCCCAATAAAAATTCAAGCAACACAGCCCAAAAAAGTTAAAAGCACTAGTCTACTTTTAGAAAGTTGGCATTTTCCACCTTTTCTCCTTGTGTCTCTTTCCTCTGCCATGTTGGTTCCTTTATATGAGCCAACACAATCCCTGCAAGCACAAAACTGAAGGGTCATTTATTGATGTTGAAAGTGAATGTAAACAAAGGACGAAGAGGTTAAGTAATACTGTGAGACAAAGCATTATTGAAAAAATGTCTACTACATTAATAGACTGTTGTCATAGGCAAATCCCGCTCAATGTTGCATTTGTAAAGAAATTGCATCGGATTTCAACACAACTAAAAGAACAATCAGCTGCGTCTGGAGCTAAGACAAAAAACACTTAGAGGGTGCTTTCATTGAAGTCAGGAGTCAATTGTAAGGAAGTGCAGGTAGAGGTGTTTGTTCACCTCAGTGGAACTTAAGAGGATCCACTGCGTGGATTGACTACTATCAGATCTTTGCCTCAACCTTTGGCATGTCTGCATCTATCATTAAAAGAGGTGGACTTAGAAGCCATTCTACTGCCATTAAGGGCTGGTTCTATTTGTTTGATCTTATTGATTTTGATAGGAATTTATTAAGGTCTAGTTTGATTTGGAAATTCCAGTTAAAATTGAAACTGGATCTCACCTGGTCTGGTCCAAATCTTCTAATCTGAATCTTTCTGATATGATTTGATTCTAATAAGAATAAGTAAGAAGAATAAGCGGAAGAGAATAGGTCTTAAACCCCTTATTGGCTGAGGCAAACAAAAGTCAGAGGCTACTCTTCTGGTTCAATCAGCTAGAAGCCACTAGTATTCCCTATAACTGAAAATTTAAAACTTTTCAATATGTGGTGCTTGCACATTGATGAAAACTTTAAGGAAAGATCAGCTCCAAACTTAAGGAACATTCAAGGTAGCTGAATCTTTAATGACCATTTTTTATTTTATAGAGCTATTCAGTCATCAAAGGAACAATCAGCTCCAAACAATGTGGCAGAGCTATTTCAGGCAATAGACGAAGCTTATGTTCAACTATCAGGACACACTCTAAACATGGTGGGGTTGAATTATCAACATGTCATGCAAGAAGTGGTGAAAGTAGGAGGGGGAACAAGGACAAGCTATCACACATGACAAACAACATATTGGCAAGAGAGGGTAGACTTCCGATTGTAGTGAACTTGGAGTAAGGAGTGCGATACAGCACAAGGGAGAGCCACACCCTAAAAGCTAGTTGTTAAGGTGGGAGAACCCTTGGCTATATAAACCCATCACCAAGTCCCCCATTTAACCGGTGTGGGACAATGAAATCAGTCCGTATCATTCGACCCCCACATAAGGCCCAACGTCCTCGTTGGTCACGGCTACGTTGGTCACGACTAGTTTCAGCATGCCACCACTCCGTAGGCCACCACTCCGAGTTGGCTCTGATATCATTGATACAACACAAGGGAGAGCTACACCCTAAAAGCTAGCTGTTAAGGTGGGAGAACCCTTGGCTATATAAACCCATCACCAAGTCCTCCATTTAACCGGTGTGGGAGAATGAAATCAGTCCGTATCAGAGTGTTTGCAAGGTAGTCAAACTTTATATTCTATGTAGGATTGATGTAAGAAGTAAATATCGTAATTTGTAAGATCGTGGTACGGATTGTAAGATCTGGGGGTACAATGAACACCATGAGCTCAGGATGCATGGCCCATCACCCCTCCAGCGAATGCCCGGAGGGTGATCACTTGGAGCGACTCTGGAGGCGGAGGGATGATGATTAGGAGAATGAGAGGATCCGGGAGTACAATGAACACCTCAGACAGAAGAGGGAGGCAGCAAGGCCAAACCAGCCGGAGCAAGAAATGGAGACAACTAGCTTGACTCCAAACTCAAGATCCCGGGACTTGAACGAGCCACAAGTTGTGGAGGTTTCAGCTCGAGGGGGCGGAGGATTCAAGCGGCTGTCCGTCGGAAGGGCCCTGACATCAGAAAGGTTGGGACCCAACCCTCGAGGAGGGCCGGCGATGAGCAGAAAACCGACGCAAAGTCACGCTGGGTCTTCTTGTTGGGAAGTCCAGAATGATCAAAGGGGAAGGAGGCCGGTGGTCTCAGTCCACCTTCCTGAAGACGAAGATGTTGAGGTTCAAAGCCAGAAGAGGATTTCGGCCAGGCAACGTATTGGTCGGAGGGTTCTAGAACTTGAAGCTAACGAAATCTGGGACTTAGATCAGAGACTTCAAAGCAACGGGGAATTATGCTCTGCTTAGGAGCTGGCCCTCATCCAGCTTTGTTATGCCCATTTCCTAAGGGGGACTCTCCTCAGCTTGCTTTATCCCACATGGTTTTTTCTTGCGAGGCGCACCCTAAAAAATGGGAGGGGCAAAGTTGGGTGAGCATCATCCCTAAGGGACACATAGTCGTCCTTGTACAAGGGACGCATACATCATCGTCCTCATGCAAATACTAGTAGGATTTTAGTGTGTGCTGCCCCTTCTCACCTTGGATTTCATCCCCAAGGAATTGGGGATTCCATGTGGATATGGGGCTCATCGTGGGACTTTGTCCTTTGGTTCAATCAACAAAAATTTTAAAACGTCAAACTTTTAGGAGATCTACTACTACTACTAGTACTAGGGACGCATACATCATCGTCCTTATGCAAATACTACTACATTTCTCTTTTTGACTTCTCTTTTTCTATACTCCCTTATATATATAATACATAGTCCACCTTATGTCTCTTTATTTCCGTTCAGGCAGGGCCTAATCGCTTAGGCGTTGTAAAGGTCCGTTACCACTTCGCCTCCCCTGGTCACGGCAACACACCTATGATTGTTCTGTATTTCGTTTTGCAACACAGGTTGACTTGTCTTCCCACAGTTTATAGTGCAGTCCAATAAAAAAATGTAGTACAAGTCAAGAATATAATATCAGATGGTTTCAAACTGAAGAATATATTATTATATCATATCAAAGGTAAGGTTTTGTAATACTGGCTAAAGTGATTAAAAAAGATTAATATCAGATGGTACCAAATTGAAGCATATAACATATAAACCAAACCAATCCAAACTAATTCCAAATACTCAATGTGTTTGTGACTGTGTCCCACTAGGCAAAGAATAGATCATATGAAACTTGAAGTTGTGAACTACTTTGTTACATACTTGAGCTTATGTGGTGATTGAGATGACAAGCAGGGAAACATGTATTACCAAGGCGAAAAAATGTCGTAGTATCAAGAAATATGCCATATGTTACTCTCAATGTGCCATAGAATTCTATGTATTAAGGATTACTCTGCCGTGACCTTACATGTTGATTTTCAATTCGGTTCTTTTATTTTCTTCTTTGTATACTGGAAAAGCAGTCCTAACTCCTAAGGGACAGTACAAATGTACAATTACAACCAACCCACTAAAATTCCAGAAATAGGGACTGCTAATCAACAGTGAACATTGATTTTATTCTAATTTGCTGCAGGGTTGGTGGCTTTTGAGAAACAAAGTGGAGCTAACAACACCTGCTGTAATTGCCAATTGTCTTGTTTTCTTGATTGGGTAATATACTTTTGCCCTTAAAACTAAAAAATTTAAATCACATAAATTACATTCATATGTAGTACAGTCCTCTTTTACCATGTTTAACATTTTCTTGTTCTGGATCTTATCTTGGGTGGAAAGGTATCTTGTGTTTAGAGGATCAAACAAGCAGAAGCATCTCTTCAAAAAGAACCCTAAAGCTCCAATATGGGGAAGACCTCCAAAAGTTGTTGGGGGGAAGTTACTGGCTTCAGGCTATTGGTGAGCTTTCAATTTTTGCTTCTTTTAATGGATGAAATTTCATTTCATGCTATAGTTTCTTGAGCAAACATCTCCAACTTTTGAAGGGGAATAGCACGACACTGTAATTACCTCGGGGATTTATTACTTGCCCTCTCCTTTAGTTTACCGTGCGGAATAAGGTAATAACTGACTAACATCTAGTTTATTTTATGTTAGTTTACGGTGACGGGTGACTTTCGAAAACGACCTCTATCTATTTTAGGTAGAGTAAGGTCTGCCGTCTGCGTACTTCCACCCACCCAACTTAGACCCTGCTAGTGGGACTAACTGGGTACATTGCTGTCGTTTCTGTTAAAACGAATACTCCATAATTCATAAATATAATACTACTTCTGTCTTAGAAAATGTTTCATGTTTTGACTTTTTTGGTCAAACAGTGACACTATTTGACTACAAATTGTTAAAATATATTTAATTTTAAAGTAAATTCAATATGATTGAGTTCATCTTAGGATATAGTTTTGACATATCAAATTTTATAGCATTTATTTATTCAAATTATATTTAATTTGTAGTCAAAGAGTGTCATTGTTTGACCAAAAAAGTCAAAACATGAAAGATTTTTCAGGACAAAGGTAGTACAACACGACAAAATACTGACGCACTATAAACCTATGCAGCTCTGCAGTTCCATACTTTTATCCTATATATCTTCTAATATTGTTAATATGGAGGGAGAGAAGAGACGATGCTCGGTGTGCGGAGAAGTACAAAGAGGTTTGGAAAGAATACTGTGAGATTGTCCCTTGGAGGATATTGCCTTATGTTTACTAAGGAGTTGTTCGCCATTATGTTATTCTTTGAAACATCAAACGATTGTAAACCTGATTAGTTATGATTTTGTGAGTGCAGCAAAGTTGATCAAAATGTAGTCCCATTTGTAGTTTCTCATCTTTTGACTGATTTATTCATTGCAAGCATGGATTTTGCTCTGCATTCCATACTCTGGATTAATAATATTTAAAACCACGTATTTGATGACATTTTCTATATTGCTGCAAAACAAAGCTAATGATGATACGGTTTTTATCCCATCGTCCCATACACGGGTTTCTTGACTTCTCTTCGCTCAAGAAAGTCCCGTTTGAGCCGAACAAGTCAAAATCCTTTTTGTTTGACCTCTTCTTACTAAAGGAAAGATGTCATTAACTACAACGGACAGTTTTAGCCAAACAGACAAACATATTCGAAGTATAACTATAATGGACAGTTTCTAATAATTATACTGTTATTTAGTAATTGCATTCGGATTGAGAAATCTTTGTGCTACCACGTATCCATGAATCGTGGCGTAGGTCTTCAAGCCAGTCCTAGGAAGGATCATGGAAGAATACGTGAATGGCATGATCGTCAAATCTAAAGAGGCTTGAGATCATGTCTAGGGCCTCAAATAAGTCTTTTTTATTATAGTGAAGGTAAACTTGCGACTCAATCTAAAAGAAGTGTACCTTCACCGTCAGGGCGGTAAGTTCATTGGGCATATGGTCAGTCGAAGAGGGATCAAGTAGTCGAAGAGGGATCAAGTCTAATGTAGAGCAGTGTTATTAAAACCGGACCGGACCAGCCGGTCCAACCGTGACGCAGTCACATGTCCAGTCCGGTTCATTGTTGAAACTCGTTTTCGAGTTGACCCGTTAAGAACCGGGAAAATCGCCGACCCGGCTCGAACCTGCGGGTTCTTGGGTTTAGATGAAACACTTATTAAAAATTAAGTGCATAGGCTGGGTTTCGAACCCTTGTCCCATGGACTACTAAGATGGGCTTAATCCACCTAAGCTAATGCTAAACTTGTTTCTTAATCCATGCAACACAGGATATATTACTTTTTAAAAATATTTAGATAATACATAGTAATCTAAAAATAATCCTAATTATTAAATATAGAGAACGCTCTATGTGTTTATCATAGTTTTCCTTTTTATTTATTTTATGAAATTTTAAATTAGTACAAAGCTAAAAGTTAGTATTATTTATTTTTTATTTAAGTAATAATAAAACCTATATTTAAAATATTACAGAGTATTTTCATCTTTAAAATATTGATAATAATTTAATGTATTTCATTTTTTATTTTTTAAAAATTTTAATCAACTAAATATAAGTTTTAAAATGTCAATAGTATATAAGAAAATAATATGCAGTCTTTATATTCTTGAAAACGAGTACTTCTACGATATTCACTATTAACTTGTAGTCCGTAATAATAATGAAAATATAATAGAATAAAAACAAAACATGTAAAATAGTATAGAGTATATGTTCAATGAAACTAAAATCTAGGTGTAGAAGTAAAAAAATATAAATTAAAATACTTTTATTTACTATATATGTCATCTAATAATATACAAAGTAATATAAAATATTATTATTTACATATATTTGATCGGGTCGTTGACCCCCCGAGTTGACCGGTTCGACCGGTTAGCCCTTGACCCACTTGCTCCTCCGGGTCGATGCCCGATCCGGTTTTCAAAACATTGATGTAGAGAAGGTGAAGGCCATCATGAAGATGAACCCCCTCCCCCCAAAACAACAAAGAAGGTTCAGCGCCTGACTCGATGATTGGTGGCACTGAACCAATTTCTATGCATATTTGCGAAAAAAGCCCATCCCTTCTTTGTCGTGACAAAAAAAGGGCCGTATTTTAATGGACCAAGGAATGTCATGAAGCATTTAAATAATTTAAAAAGTACTTGTCTTGCCCCCCTCTCTCCTATGTTATCAAATCAGGAACTCGGGGGCGTGCGAATATACACTTGGCTATCTCTAATTGTGGCATGCATACTGTCATCATGTGCGATGTGGAAGGCATCCAGCACCACATTTATTATGTCAGCAAGACTCTTAGGGATGCAAAATTAAGGTATTCCAGACCAGAGAAGGTTATGTTAGCGGTATGCTAGACTACCAAGAGGCTGACATGGTTTTCGAAGATCGGTATCATAATGTATCTTTTGGTTTCAATGGAGAATCGTGAGTTAAGACAAGTTTTTCATAGTTCAATATTTTGATACAGGGAATGGAATTCAATCTTTCCAAAATTGATCAAGAGGGATGTTTCAAGAGTGATGTTATTTTTATTGTTATCGTTCTTTGTACACTCGTAGTTGGTGGGGTAAAATCCAACACATAGTGAGAAGAAATAACATAAAAGGTAAAGATCTTATTTTCATAATTCTAGTTTCTACCAAAAATATAAAGTGCAAAAAGGAAGTAAATAATATCAATAATACGTACTACATAGTACTCCCTCCGTCCTATATCTTTCTTCCCGTTGCGCAAAACGAAGAAAATTTTCAAGTTTTTCAATCTATTTTATTTAAATATTGGTATAGAAATAAAAAAAATAAAACATACATATTTAAAAACTACATCAAAAGTTCAACAAAACAAGTGGTGACAAGAATATTTTATTTTATCATATAGGCCATGAAAAAACACAAATAAATATAAAATCCCGTGAAGTTGGAATAGTGCTCTGGGAAGAAAGTTTTAGGACGGAGGGAGTATCTCATAACAAACCCCAATGAATGTTTTTAAAGTGAGCCTTATATCGTACATCTAGTTGTATAGTGTTTCTTTTACATATGCGTGAATACTCATTTTTTAGTAAGAGAATACTCATTTTGCATATTTATTAATTTTAGTAATTATTCAAAACATGTACATCATAAATATATGCATACTTATTTGAGAACTACATACATAATTTTTATTACGTTTATGCATAAACTGTACTCTTTATGAATAGCACAATACACATTTTATACATTTTCGTATGAATACTCTATGTATCATAAACGAAATGAGTATTCTATTACTCATAAATGAGCTCATTCTTGTTAAGGAATGTAGTAGGGTTTGTCGTTAACGGGCTCATTCTTGTTGGACTCGTAATTAGGTCATGGTCTTATAGCTATTATAAAAAGTGGATTTATGTGTAATCAAACCATTCAAGTTTAGATCTAATTATATTTCTACACTTTCTTCTAGAGACAAATATTAATGAAAATTGAACACGCTCCATGGGGTCATGAATTAAACATCCTGTTTTGGTTTTCGATCATTTATTAAAATTATTTTCAGTACAATTTATGTATGTATGTATGTATGTATGTATGTATGTATGAAAATCCAAAATTTCATAGCACACCAGAGACCTGGAATTCAGTGGACAACCCCTATCCTCTTCTGTGAGGCCCCAGCTCTCCCGTGGGTTGGAATTCATTTGAGTTTGAAATTTTAGGATAGGGGCTGTCCACAACCAGAGACCTGTGGAGATTAAATCTAAAGAAAAGATGCAATGATAGAAACCAAAACTGATAAAAACAGACTCCAAGACCAGCGATTTCAATCTCCTTAAAATGGGAAAGCTCTTTGTTAAAAGCTGACACAATTTATTAATAAAAAATAACTAACTCAACGGAATATTTAAACTAATCAACATAAACAGATAAGAGTAAATCTCTAATTTCCCAACACGCCTAAACTAAATAAAAGTGTACTCCCTTCATCTCAAAATATTTGTATTATTTAAAATTTTCACAAACTAAATAAATTTTAATCACTAATTATATGAAAATTACAACAACAACAACAACAACAATAACAATAACAACCAAGTATAATCCTACAATTGCAAAGTTTAGAGAAGATATATGTGTGTTTGCAAACCTTACCCCTACTAAAGTAGAGAGGCTTTTTCAAGAGACCTCCGTCTGAAGAAACACGAAGAATGAATAGCACAACAAAAGATTAAAGAGCAAAGAAAATGGTAAAAATAGCTTGTTGTGACAAGAGGCACCCCCAGACTCCAAGCCTACAAAGCACACAACAACGTACGATAACAAAACAACCACCTCGATCTATATACGACTATCCAGCAACCCCAATCATAGATCTTCAAACGTTCCTATCTAAGGTCATATTCTTGGTAAGAGGTAGAAGTCCTAAGCATTGCCTAATTGCCTCCTCAAATAACCAAAAGTGTAGCAGAAATCACCAAATAAAAGTTATGCAAACAAATCAAATAAATCAAACAAATATGCAAAGGATGTTATAGCACTGTCACAAATGCAAGTTGCACTAGTAAATAACAATATGATGAAACACGATTTCTGAATTATATTGTTATGACAAAACTTTTAATCTATGACTTCTAACTCGAATCCTGTTCGAACCCGCTTTGGATATCACATCACCACCGAGATCAGTAGGACAAGTATGTTTGGTAGCCCACACGTTCATCTATTGTTTATCTCTTGGATGTCATGATATGTTTGACATTGAAGATCTCCTTCATGTAGATCTTTACTTTCTTCATGCAAGGGAAGCTCTAGGACATGACAGGAATGCTCTACATCTCTATATATTTTGCGTTTTTCCCTCTCAATCGCTCCAAGAAATCACAAGGAGTTGCTGCATTTTTATAGGCCTTTCCAAACCCAATCCTAGTAGGAATAGGCTTGAAAATAGCTTCTTTAATCATGATCCACAAGTAGCCTAAAGCTTCTTAAATACCAGCTAGATTTATAATAAACAGGTCCCAGCGTGTAGTCGCAATCCACATAGGTCTCTAATTCAAATTTTGCAGATTGCAATCCCGTCATAGGGTGCTGTAGTGCATCTTCTGTGTCACCTTCAAAAAGTGCAACAACTCTAGGAGTAATAAAATATACATCTCTTAACAAATAGAAGTTTCTAGCTAGTAAAAATCATGATAAATATGAGTTTCTATTTTTCAAAAGATTAGCCAATAACTTAGAACTAACACAACTCTCTAATTCTTCCTAGGTCTACCCCTTTGTCTAAACTCATCTACCATCGTAAGCCTTTGCATCTCCACACAAGGGCCTCAAAGTCACACCTGCTCACAGCCTCACATGACCAAACAATCTCAACCTAGCCTCCTGCAGTTTATCCTTCACATGTGCCACTCATACATGCCTCCAAATAGCCTCATTTTGAATCTCATCCAACACCGTCTGCCCACGCATCCACCACAGCATATGCATCTCATCCACATCCAGCGCGCTGGTGGATTTGGACTTTCTTAACTACCTAACGCTCCGTACCATAAAGTATAAATATTTTAACTACCGACTGATAGAACTTATCTTTCATCCTCTCTGAAATCTTTATATGCATAGGACAACTGATGCCAACTTTCACTTCGCCAAGCCGCTCCAATACGGTGAACAACATTTCCATTTATGTCTCCGTCGTCCTGAATGATTGAGCCATGATATCGAAACTTGTCATTACGTCCCTAACAAGTCTCACCGATCAATACATTATAAGCAAAATAAATGCACCAAGAGACCTCTTCCTAGAAACCAAACGATAAAACATCTATCAGTGCACAAATAAGAAGGGACTAAGGGCCAAATCCTAGTGCAACCCCATCTTTCAGAATCAACCCCAATAGCTCTCACTCTGGTCTTTGCCTGACACATATTTCTTTGAGTAGAAATTAGTATAAAAAATATTTTTAATTTCTCAAAGAATGTGGTAATGACTATTTTTTATACAAATATAAATTGCAGCTTTTATTTGTTTAATGATTAAAATTTATCAAATTTTGATTTAAAGAAATAAATTAGACAAATACTCGTAAATGCTATTCCAATAACTTATCATTGATATGAGATGCTTTTTTATCGGAGACGATCCGCAATATATACCGTACAACTGGTTTCGGGTATCTCCCTTACATCCATAATGAGTACTTATTTACGGGTAACTGGATACTCATTTTTTGAGCAATTGAATACTTATTTTTCTAAAATTCAATTATGTTCAAAATTTATATTTAGTTACTCAAAAAGGAGTACTCTATTACTCGAAAATAAGTACCGTGCTACTCGAAAATAAGTAATCAAGTAAATATACAAAAAACAATATGCATACCCAAATGTATGGTATAAGTAGGAGAAGGTATATGGTACAATCGGATGTACATAGAGATAGGTACATCTGGGGTAGTACTCATTCTGAAGTAGAGTAGTATTCATTCTCGCACAAATATAATTAGCGCAGTACTCGTTCTAACATAATGCAGTGTTCATTTCCAGACATTGATTCAATATAATTAAAATATTTATTTACAAATAATGTAGTGTTCATTCTGAAACAAAACAGTACTCATTATCAAATAACTTAGTGTTCCCCATGTAAAATAAAATTCATACCATAAATAATTTTTTGGTTGTAACCAAAATTGGATAGAACCCGATGTATAATATAATTTGAGTAGAACGGATGTATAATACTCACTTCGTCTCCTTAAGATCTTCTCGTTTTGATTTTTTGTGGTTTTTAAGGAGAGTTGAAAAAGGGTGAAAGTTTACCAAAATACCCTTAATGAAAATGAGTGGAGTGTATTAAATAAGGTGGAAAAGGTGTAATAAATAAAGTAACTGGAGATAGTTGTGGTATTTTAAATGTTAAAAAAGGTAAAGAGAAAATTTATGTGCGAAAAATAAAAAGAGCTACTACCTCCGTCCCGTGAAACATTTCCCCTTTCTTTTTTTATCCGTCCCACAAAACACTTCTCATTTCTATTAAAAAGTTACTTTTACCCCTTACTTTTTCATACCCTAACTATCACATCATACCTTTTTACTAATAATCTATCCATCAAATCATACTTTTATCCATCACATCAAAGGACATTTTTGGAAATTCAATACCAAAATACACTCCCTTAAATCTCTCATAAAAAGCAAATGTCTCATGTTTCACCACGGGAAGGAGGTAGTATGACTTATGAGTAATCGAGATTGATCTTTTTGATAACAGTGGTGGGAGAGGATGTATTGATATCACTAGAAGCAGCATCCGGCCGAACGCGGAACGATTGAACGAACGTCACATCCAGAGTCGGAACTGTGTCGGAAGTCGGAAGAGGAAATCCATCGGTAAAGCATTTGTCAACAGGCGTCCACAGATCGCGATGGTTCCGCCGGCGGTCCCCTCCTCTCCCAGCTCCCAATACACCCAGCAATTTTTGAACAGCGTCCTCTCCCAGCGAGGCCCTGAGGCTCTGCCCTACTCGGAGGACCTCAAGTGGCTGATACGCCAACACCTCCTCGCCCTCATCGAGGCATACCCTTCTCTCCAGCCCAAGACCGGAATCTTCACCCACAACGACGGCCGGACCGTCTATCTCCTTCAGGCCGACGGCACTGTCCCTATGCTCTTTCAAGGCGTGACCTATAACATCCCCGTCGTCATATGGCTCATGGAATCCTACCCGCGCCACCCTCCCCTGGTCTTCGTCAACCCTACTCGCGATATGATCATCAAGCGTCCTCACCCTTTTGTCAACCCTTCAGGCATCGTTGCGATCCCTTATCTTCAAAGCTGGATCTACCCTAGCTCTAATCTTGTTGAATTAGCTCGCAATTTGGGACATTATTTCAGCCGTGACCCCCCTCTGTACTCCCAGCGCAGACCTAATCCAAACCCTAGCCCAACCCCCAACCCTAGCCCTTCTACCAGTGCCAGTTTTCCAAACAGTGCCTCGATTGGATCTCATTCCCCAGCAATCCGGCCCGCTATACCCCCTCCACGTGCATTTCCCCAGTCCCCATATGGAACTGGCAGTGGTTCTGAGAGGGTGATGGATGATCCTTCAGAAGTTTACAAGCGAAATGCTATTAATAAGCTTGTGGAGAACTTGCATAGCGATATCTTGGGGTTGAGGAAGGCCAGGGAGGCCGATATGGATGGCATGTTCAATGCCCAATCTGCACTGAAGCTGCGAGATGTGCAGTTGAGCAATGGTTTGAAGGAGATGCAGGATGAGAAAGAGGGGTTGGAGCAGCAGTTGCAGATGGTTCTGATGAACAGCGATTTGCTGGAAGGGTGGCTGAAAGAGAATGAGGCTAAGGTGATGAACTTGGGGGTGACGAATGTGGGTGTGGACGAGGAGGTGTTTGAGCCTTGTGATGCTCTTTCCAAGCAGATGCTCGAATGCACTGCCTCTGATTTAGCCATAGAGGATGTGGTTTATTCTCTTGACAAGGCAGTACAGGATGGTGCAATTCCTTTCGATCAATACTTGAGGATCGTGAGGCTCTTGTCTCGTGAACAGTTCTTTCACCGCGCCACTGCCTCCAAAGTTAGGGCTGCTCAGATGCAGGCACAGGTTGCTAATATGGCTTCCAAGGCATCCCAGTATTCTTTATGATGATTTACACTAAGCAGCCATCGTGGTGGTATAATGGATTTTGACGCCATTCATATACGGATTACTATTTATTTCAAGGTTGGTTAGTTGTGTGGATAAAATCTTAAAGCTTGGTCTCTCTACAGGTTTTCACACTTCTTGGCTATAGCGGAAACTTAAAAGTGTGTATTTCTCTGAGCAATTGATATGCGTGACTCTTTATATGTTCTATAGTTATGTGTACAATTTTTGTTGATTTCAACTATAAAAAGTTTGGGAATCCAAGTTGATAATTTCTTGAAAATAAGCACTTTAAGATGCATACTCTGCATAGATGAGGATTAACTTGGTCATAGTATATGTTGCCCATCGCACTTGTGATATTCGTTTCCATCTTTTCTGCTTACCTGAGTAAACATTTATCCCTTACCACAATGATCAACCATATTTTCCAGAGTTTTGAAAAGTTTATGTTACATTTAAAAGCTCTTCAGTGTCCATCTAATTGAGTTATTGATTCATGTCCTGATTTTGAGGACTCAGGATAAACTGTTATGTGACTTGTGTTCCGCTGAGATTGGATGGTTGGTTATACTCTATGTTCTTCAATTTTGGGATGAATGTGCTTGTTCCGAAGTGTTTCCCTTTTTCTAACCGAATCATGTACGCTCTTCGTTCAATCATGGTGGGGTTCTTTGCCTAATGCAATATGAGCCAAGTTATTAAGCCGTAAGTTTTAATGGGAGTAAATTTATAATTGCTACTCCGTAGTAATTTAAAATAGGGGGTTTGCTATTTTTGGTCTTCTGTTACTAAATATACCAAATATTATGTTCGTGACCCTTTGCTTGAAGGGTATCATTTCACGGATAGTTTTTCTTTTTACCTTCCGTAGTTCCGTTATGTTGGTGTTAATTTGAGAGTTGAAAGTGCAATTTTACTTAGACTCTACATCTTTTTTACCATAGCCAAAATCGTTGCAGTCGCTGGTCGGATTCCAAATTCACAATCATAGTCATTGATGTTGTGTTATCTATTTCACACCAAAGTGGTCAGACCTAAGATCAATGTGAAATTATATTTTAGTCATCGATATAACACCAACAAGACAGAAGGTTAAACAAAAGACTATAAGACTATTGGAGGAAAGGCATTCATAAATGAATAACCATGAACGTAATATTTGTTAGTACAGAACTAAATATTAAAACTCTCCGTTTTAAAGGACCAATATAATGTGACAAGTGCACCACATTCTCGTGTGGTATCTTAAAAGTGTTCTGTATCCCCTCATATTCTAAATAGTGCACCAAACCCCCCCCCCCATATAGTGAGAAGAATCTTGCACAAATGCTACTCGCTAATATAACCTAAATGCGGATAAAACTTATCTTAACACTCTTTAATTACGATAAATGGTCAACTAATGTATAATTTTTATAAAAAATCATCAAATATAGATGCAAAACATTGTCATTATTTTCAAAATAAAAGTGACGTGTTTTTATTTTCAAAATAGAACTATTGCATTGTGACAATGTGTCTTCGCATGTTGGCATTTCATTTTAATTTTTGTTATTATATATTGTTATGATAGCATTACAAGTTCTATTTTAGAGACAAAACTATGAATGTCTTATTTTGACTCTGCTTATATTTTACTTATTAATTACTCCATAAGTCCATACATCCTACAAAATTTTTCTCAGTTACTCATTAATGGTCAAACTTCAATCACTTTATTTATTTTGGTGTGTCATTTAAGAAAATAATATAATCATGTCACATTTTATTGAATACAACTATTGTTGGTTGTAGTTTTTAAATTTGTATATTTTATATTTTAATTTTACACCAATTATCAAACAAATTAAATTAAAAATAATCTCAGTCAAACCTCGTAAATCAAAATTGAAGAATATTTTATGATTAGAATCAAATCAAATCATGTCATATTAGATACGTTCAGATTAGATCCATTTAGTTTATATCACATTCGAAAAGTGTTAAAAAATAAAGAATGTTGTAATATTATTATTACTAAAATAAAATTAATAAGAAAAACAATAATATTATCAGTAGCACTAGAATTGATAAGAATAGTAATGACAGAAAGGGTAGCAAGATTGAAGAGGTGTCTTGATGCATAATAAAAATATTAATGGATATGATGGCATGGTTTTCTAATGTGAATGGTTTTTTGGTAATAACTTAATGATGGTATTTATTTAAAATACCAACTAATAGTTTAGCTTCCACACTCTTTTTATCTTAAATATTATGGTTTTCAATTTAGATGATTTCAAATTAGTCCAAAAATAATAAATGTGGATACTAATTTGGTAGCAGTTTGACCCACAGACCCATGAATATAGATTACGTTACATGAGTCGGGACGTAACAATTGTTGCTTGTTGATACATGCTCATTGTGTGGAATCTTATGATTGAATATGTAGCTGTGGTTTAATTTGTGGCCGTGGGTTCTACCATTAGAACTTCTTAGTCGGCTTCATCACTGAGTTTGTAATGTGTTTTATTTATCACATACATGTAATAATTACAATGAAACTAGAGTAAATCTTAGAGAGCAATAGAGAAGGAGATGTATACTGACGTGTTTGAGTGAATTGATATTATTTATTTCTTTTGAATTTATTATTTTTTCGAGCATGAATCCAAAATTATATTTTAAATAATTACTTTTTGCTTCTGCACTTTTTTACTTTAACTCTAATGGTTGTTTTAAATAATGTTTTAGATTAAATAAATTTTTAATCATTAGAAAAATACTTTGTATGTGGATACCAATTTAATAGTAACATCATCCGCTCCCGTAGACTTGGACTATGCTAGTTGGGATGTTAGTGGTTCATTTTACTACCTCTATTAAGGATGAGTTTAGTAGTCATCGGTCTTCAAGATCAAAGTTGGAGAGATGAATGAAAATAAAATTTCCATCATCTGTTTATGAATATTTTACTGATGTGATTACTATTGTTATTACTCCGTATATGATAGTATAGAGACAAGGATGATAATATGTACATCTTTGAAGATCAATCTATAATATTTGTTTAGGTTTTAATTTGGTATTTGTATTTTCTTTTATTTAAGTTTGAAGCTTAGTGATACGAATCTTCAATGAATCTTCAATGAATCGTATCAAGATAGAGAATAACTTCGAGCATTCTTCAAACTCCAGAAAAGAGAGGCAAATAAGATAAGAAGTCGCAAGAAAGAAACGTGTGTTGGAGACAAATAAAGGATAAGGTTTTTGATACAAGAAATATGATCTTTTGTGGCTAACTTTTAGTAGCAAAATAAATATTTGCCACTATATAAAAATAAAGTCTTTTAATATTTGTGGCAATTTAAAATTTGCCACAAAATAGTATATTTATTGTAGCAAATTTATAAAATTGCTACTATACCTAAAATATTAAGGAGGGAAATTAATCAAATTATTAATGAACTAATTTTTAATGAAAACATAATCCCGCCTAACCCAAAATTTGCCCAAAACTATTCCCTCAATCCATTATCGCCGCTATACCTCTCTCTCAAGTCTCCCATGTTCGTCGCCTCTTTCCTCTACCGGCCGAAACTCCTTGAAATCTTTTGCCAGGACAGGTATTCTCTCAAATGGTTCCTTTTTTTTGTTTTTTCGAAAGGCCAGCGTGAATTTGTTTTGCAATCGCATCTCTTGGTTTGATTTTCCTTCGTTTTTCTGCAATTGCATCTCTTCGTTTGATTTTTCTTCGATTTTTCTTCAATCGCTTCCTCTGCAATCACTTAAGTTGGAATCAAGACTACTGCAATCCCGCCTCTCAAGCTTCAGCCTAGGTGATCAAATTTCACTGTCTCTACTTCATTTATTTTTCAATTTTAGACTGTTTAAGTTTGGTCCTCACCTGTTGTTATTCTTATCCTTAAAATCAGATTACTTCACAGTCGTGAGATCGCTGTAAGTTCTCGGATTTCAGGTATATTAACACACCCTTTCTCCAGTTTTCAGTTTGATTTTGATTTCCAGTTTACACTCCAGATCTCTTAATCAAATTTTCATTCCTTACGGTTATTTCTTGTTGGATTATGATGAATTCTGGAAGGAACTAGAAATTGTGGGCATGAGAGAGTAACATGAAAATTAAGGGGGGGTTTCTAATTCAGTTGCTCATCTCAATATGGGATTCTAATCCAGCGTAGCAGTTTTAGAAATGCAACATGAACCAAGAAGGGAAACAAGTTCTGTCTGTTTCTTCCTTTGTGTTCTTCTATCCATTCCAAGAGTTCTTCCATTCAAGCTAATAGCCATTGACATTTTTTTTGTGCACAAAAAAGGACTACTACTCTGCACAGAAACCACTATTCTTATCTATGCAGATTTCAATCTGTAATTACTAATCCGTGTGTACTAAGGAAGAAACAGACAGAACTTGTTTCCCTTCTTGGTTCATGTAGCTGACATTTTTTGGATTTTTTCTGTACATATTTTTGGATTTTTACATTCTAAATTGTGTATGATGATGCTTCCACATGTGTGAAATCCAAGGAAACACATGGATTATTGGTTTTGTTCATTCTCCTTTAGGTGCAGTTGTAAGTGTCCTAAAATTCTGAGTAGGCACTTACAGTAAATTCTGAGTATTAGGCTCTTTCTTGTGGGGTATGAGCTTTTGTGATATTCTGAGTTCTTGTGGGGTATGAGCTTTACAGCAAATTCTTGTGATATTCTGGGTGGGCATTTACAGTACATTCTGAGTTTTGTGATATTTGATAGCCTTTTCTGATATTTGTTAGCACTTGGCGTCGTGATTCAACTTTCTTCAATTATGCTTATTCATTACTCTAAATTTAGTTCAATTATATATAATGTAGGCTTGATGATAGTACTTGTCCTTTATATGATCTAATTGTTATACATGACTAGGTTATTTTCTAAGGTTGCATTGGGGAGCATTTCCTATTGAAATTAAGTACTTCGCAAGTGCGCAATTATATGTCTTCCGGGTATGCACACTATTTAATTATTATCATACAGTTATTTATGGTTGCTATTAATTTTTTATATCCCTTGGTGTTTATAATTTAGTGAATTCCAATGTACGGAGTATTAAATATTTTGTAATTGATTTTTAAATTATAATGATTGATATAGTACTTATCCTACTTTTAATACTGAGAAGCTAATCATTAATTTTTTTAAAAAATTTAAACAGGATGGATAATGATAGAAGTTGGATGAACTGGAAGACATATAGATGAAAGATGTGTGTCTGAAGAAGCAGGCCTTCACGACTGTCGGACTCGTGGAGACATGGATGGAGTTCCGTTTGAAAGACAAGCTCCAAAAACAAGATCAACGACTTCACAAAGAGAAATTCTCCCACTCCATGAAAGAGGTAGTGGCTCATTTCTATTTATTTCTTCTCGCTGTAGTTCATTCTAATTACAATTTGCCAACATAGACTTAGTAATTGTGTATGTATTATTGAACTGTCATATATAGGTAGAACTACCAATATCCCAATGAATAGAAGTGTTGGGGATGAAAATCATATGAGCGGTACGGTATGTATAATGCCATTGGTAGAGACAATTTTAACTTCTATACACTCTTTAGGGGGTCTAAACACAGGTACATTAGGTATAATGCCATTGGTAGGGAAAATTGTAACTTCTCTACACTCTTTAGGGGGTCCAAACACTATTTAATTTGAAGAATGGTTTCAACTTTCAAATGTGCTCGGGTTGCTTTATACACTATTTAATTTGAAGAATGGAATCAATACATGCTCTGGTCAAAAGATATTATATATCATTCTTATAACTAACTTAGCTTCCTCAAATCTAAAAACACATATTCAAAGACCATTGTTCTAGAAATGAACTCTCATAAGATGTAGCTAGCTAGCTAGAGCATCAGGTAGGTCTCTACATGAGTGTGTTGAGTGTGTTTTTTACATACTGGATGCATTGAAAAGTGTAGCATGTGTTGATTCATAACTGAATTAGAGTTTTATTTTCTTAGAATTCTTTGGTTATTACGTATAATATTATACATACATTTCTTCGAAATAAAATTTAATAAATAACACCAATATTTATTATTATTAGTGTCATTTAACTCTTTTGTATATTTCCCATAGATAATATGTACTGAGCCTAATCTGATCATGCGTTTAGCTCTAGTTGCTATCGTCATTTTAAACACTATTTAATTTGTTTTATACGTGCCCTACTTACTAGATTATTTCTTTATTAATTTTATTTTCTTAATATGCAGAACAAGGGTCAATATGAGAGATGTCATTCAGTTTCCACGACTTTGGATAGAATTACGTACATTCGAGATAGATGTGACAAGATGAAATGAAAAGATGAAGCTTAGATGTTAAGCGTTTAAGATACTTTACTATTTTTGCCATGTTTAGTACTATATTTATTTTATGTCAAAACCCTATTATATTAACAATTGTGAACCTTTGATTGTTAGGGATGGAATTATGATTAGCATATATGTTTTGTTTTTATTATTATTTTACATCACTTTGCATATATAATTAAATGTAAAATATAATGTATGTACAATATAATATAAATAAATACTAATAATAGTAATAATAATAATAATGATGATGATAATAATAATTTAATTCTCACTAATATTAGGTTTGCCACAAAAAGTAATAATTGTAGCAATTAATATTTGCTACTAAACATGATTTTTTGTGGCAAAGTATAATTTGTGGCATCATAATTTTGCTACTAAATATGACTTTTTGTAGCAAATAATAAATTGTGGCAACTAAAATATGCCACTAAACATGACCTTTTGTGGCAAATTTTTATTTGTGGCAAATCATAATTTGCCACAAAAACTATAATTTTTGTGGCAAATTTAAATTTGCCACAAATACCTTTTGTAACGGGGTATCTGTGGCAACCTTGTGGCAAATTCCAAAATTGCTACAAATAGCTATTGTGGCTAATTTTTTATGTTTTGTGGCAAAATTTGGTGCCACAAAATGTCAAGTTTTTTGTAGTAATTTCTTGATTGCTTGATAGAATAATAATGATACGAGGTTACAATATGATGAAAACTGCTTTTTCGGGGCATTGACCTGACGAACTGGGTACCGAGTCGGCAGCGCACCGAACAACAAAATCTAGAAAATGAATAAATAAATAAATAAATAAATAAATAAATGTATAAATAAATAAATAAGTAAAGCGGAGTGAGAGTATTTATACGTGGAAATCCAAACTATGAGAAAACCACAGGCCATCTTGGACGGTGCCATGTCAAACAGAGGAACTTTTATTAATCTCAGGGGAAATTACACATACATTTTTGTTGAAATTTAGAGCCATAAATGGAGCTCTTTAACTTCAAGTGAGAAGAAGAAAGAAGATTGGTACTATAGAGCTTCTGTCCCTTTTTTTCTTGTAGCCTCTCCATATTTAAAGGGAAGAAATCCCTCTCAAACCCCCCCCCCCCCCCCTCCTTTTCTTCCATAGTTTCCTTTAAAGGGAGAGAGGTGTAACTAATGGAGACAAATGGGACATCCTCCATTTGAAACTCACATGGCTTCCATGTGAGAATTTCCTTAAAGCCCCACATGATATATTTACATCACTTCAAATACTAGCATCACTCCCGTGCGTTGCACGGGTCATACTTATATTACTAAATTAAGATCATTTTTGAAGGATATAATTTCTTATCTAATATTCCCTTCGTCCCTGAAACATCTTCCCCTTTCATTTTTTCTTTGTCCCACAAATTCCTTCCTTTTTATATTAAAAAATTACTTTTACCCCTTACTTTTTCATACCTTACCTATCACATCATATCTTTTTACTAATAATCTATCTATCACATCTTACTTTTATCAATCACATCAAGGATATTTTTGGAAAGTTAACACCAAATATCCCTCCCTTAATTTTCTAAAAAAATCAATAAGGGAACTTCTTTTGAGACGGAGGGAGTAGAATATAAAGATTTTATTATTTTAAGGTACAAAAGTTAAGTGTTTTACAAATAACGAAAGACTTCTTTAG